AAACATGGAAACTATAGGGTGATTAGAAGGTTGAGGTTGATTGTAAACATCTCAAACACATTTTTGACTGCATCGAGTTCTGCATCTGAAGCTTTATCTGTCTTTTTTTCCTTTCCTCTCCCATCTTTCTTTTCACAAGCAAACCATAAAGAGCTCCAGTTTACTTTGGGATGACATTTGACTAGCTGTATGTGTTACCTTCATGTATGACACAATGAACATGTGAAGGCCTTGACTTTGAGTGTATTACTGTCTGAGTGATGAAGAGGGTGAGTGCTGGCATGAGGGACCATGACTTAGAACCTCGCTATATCTCTTACTGGCTCTGGACCTTGAGCTAGTCATTTAACACTTAACCTCCCTGCAGCTACATACAAAATGTAGAGGGTGGAAAAGTAAAGACTATGAGTCTGTACTCAATTTTTTTTTCAAACTGCATTATAACTTAAGTTCTTGTTAATGATTCCTTTTGTTTTTCCTGAGTAGTTATAATATTTCTATAATTTTATCTGCAGTGTGCAGTATAAATACTGACTTGCATTCTTAATTAAAATTAAACACAGAATAAACTAGGTGTAGTGGTACATAGCTGTAATACAAGTGACTTGGGAGGCTGAGGCAGGAGGATCACAAATTTGAGGTCAGTCTGTGCATCTTGGCAAGACATTATATCAGAATAAAATAAAGAGGGCTGGGAATGTACCTCTGTGATAGAGCACTTGCTTAGCATTTGTGAAGCCCTGGGTTCAATCCACAGTACTGCAAGAAACAAACCAGAATAAGGCAGGGTTATATTTATATTTTTAGTTGTAGTTGGACACAATACCTTTATTTATTTTTATGTGGTGCTGAGGATCGAACCCAGTGCCTCACACATGCTAGGCAAGCGCTCTACCACTGAGCTACAACCCTAGCCCCAGACAGTATTTATTTTGACAATCACAGATATGACTTTTTCATGAAATGGAAGACATTGATATTTTGGAAAATACCAAATCATTGAGTACATCAACTGGATTTGAACAGAATTTTATGTGGAATTTTTAAAGAGAGAGGGGACTCTGAATTAAGTGAATTTTGCAGAAGTGAAAAGAGAGGATTCCTGCTCTTTAATGTTTTTGTTGGATAATAATTTATCAAAATTGAAAAAATGGAAGCTTTTTGAGTTTTGTGATATATAACTTGCTCTTATAAAGAAGCACCTGAACCCAAGTTGGCCACTCTGAGAGGGGTGATGGATGTTACACTCAGCATCACTGCACCCTGTGATCCTGTGTGGGCTTCAGAGTCAGGGCACGTAGGTTTGAATCCCCAGTCTGCCAGATACTAACTTGTTATCTGGGCCCCTTAGTTAATTGCTCTGATCTTCAATTTCTTCATTATAAAATCCAAGATTATGCTTAACTCATAGGGCAGTTAGGGGGCTAAATGAGGTGATAAGTAGAAAGCATGCAGCTAGACCCTTCCACCAAACAGGTGTTTTATATAGTGAACTATTCTTAAATAATATTATCAAATAATATATTTTAATTTAGTAATGCTTTCTATAATAATATTTATTTATAAGTAATAGTATTTCAGAGATTCCTAGCTTTGAGATCATGTTAACTACTCATTTTTACATTTAAAAATGGAACCATTCCCTTACCTTCCCTGCACACAGCACCTTGTAGGGAACTAGAATATCTTTGATAGAGCTTCAGTAGAAGCTGGGATGTGGGTCTCTAGCCCAGCCTGGGCTCCCTGCTTTGCTACAGGGCCTTGCCACTTTAGGGTGCCTTGGGAAGAGGGTCAGAAGAGTTGCCCTGGTCAAATCTTCATTCTTCTCCAAGATCTCATAGCCACTTGGGTTGAGCTAAGAACAGAGCCTAGGCCCCTGGGCCTCTAAGTCATGTTTTTGTTTTCTAAAGCACTCTGCAGTATCCACCACTGGCCTGAATTACAGGTGCTGCTAGTCCTCTCTCTTGTAGAATTGGGGCCTGTTTTCCTTGATGTGACAGCTATCCCCATCCTAGAACCTGATGCCTCAAGAGGCTACTGGCTTGATTCCTGGGTTTACTGATGGCCCTACTTAGGTGTTATGGCTGCTAAAAATCATACGGCATCCACAACAGTCAAGTATAAAACAGGAACAGAAGTGGTTAGTCTCTCTCAAATTGCAGCCTCGCCAATGGTATTTGATAAGCATCCATTTCTAGGCACCTGAAAAAAATTGCATTCGGTGCAGTAGTTTCACTTCTCTACTTGGTGGTCAGTGTCAGCTGGTGATGACTTGCTGTATTCTTCATTCAGTGAACAGAAGCTCCAGTCATCAATTGTTAAAGAGCAATCTGACTTTTCTGGCTTCAGGTTTTTGTCTGGAATTGAGGTAATACTCTTCTGCAGTCCTCATCAATCTAGGGAGGTTATGGTTTATGACATTAAAAATGTATTGAAAACCTTTTATTAGAAGATGAATACAAGATATTGTTATGTAAATAAGCCTAGATTTTCTCTGCAAAAACAGATTGGTGACCTCTTTGGCAGAGTTACTGCTTTAAGATCTATGGCCTTTTATTTCTGCTTTGCATTAAAGACTCTTGATTTCTTCCTAGAACATCTACAATGGAAACACACATGGGCTTTCCCCCAGTTTTATGTTTTCCTATATCATGTGTCTTGGTGTTTCTGCAATTCCTATAAGATGAATAGCTCTCAAAAGACACTTTTTTAAAGTGCTGGGGATTGAACCTAGGGCCTCACACATGCTTTCTGCCACTGAGTTATATCCCCAGCCCAAGATGAACTGACTTTGTACAAGGGACCTCACCCCCCAGCCTGATTTCCTGAACGAGACATGGAACCAAATAATTTCATCTCTGTTTTTTGCTGTTGCTTTGAGTGATTTTATGTTGGAAATGGATCGCTATCATATAATTCCTTCTACTGTCAAGTCAATGTTTATGAGTGCAGAAAACTGTAGAGTTCAATTTAATGATAACTGTTATATAATGTGTGTCAGTAAATAATAAGTATTATAAGAGGAGTTTCCTCCAACCTCATGGTTCTGGGAGCTGGCCATTGGATTAACAAATTTTCAGTTCTGCCTGTAAATGTTCATTTATAGCAGGGACCTAGGAGTCTATATTCGTTCTGGTGAGTCCCCACTCTGTTCCCATGCTTCTTATTCCATTCTCTTTCCATCATAACATTTAACCAGAGAGTTCACCCTGGGCAAAATTTCAATGAATGACATTGATTTTTGTTGTGAAGTTTTGACAGGTAAGAAAGTATAAGATGGGCCTTTAGTGAAAGTCACACTTGATTTATAGGGCTGGGTAAGGTACTGGCTGTGAGTGAGAAAGCCAGCCATTTTGGTGGAAGTGGGGCTGGTTTTAAGAGACAAACAAAAGAGTTTTTAAAATGTACAAGGGGCTTCTATACCTACTACTGCCATTTTTGCTACTGACTCCCACATTTTAGAGATCACAAAATGGCTAGCTGATACTATGCTGGGAACTTTTTATATTTTATCACTAAATCTTATGAAGACTCTCAAGGTGTGAAGTTAAAACTAATCACTTCAATAATTTGAATGAACTATTGTGAAGGAACTGGGATAGGGACTTATTGAGAGCAGAGAGCAAAGAGAAAATCCATGATCACAGCCCAAGCTTTAGATCTCACTTATTTTAACTTTCAGCATGGAATTCCATAGTTAAAAATAAATGTGCCTTCTTATAAAAATGTGTAAATAAATAATTTTTGCTTTGTCTTCCATTCACTCAAACCTCTGGCATGCATTCCAGCCCTGCCACTCACTAGCTATAGGACCCTGGGCAAGTCACCTCTTTCAATCTGTTTCCTTGTATCACAAGTGGGGATACTGAAAATACCTCTCCCATGGGATGGATGTGAGATTTAAGGAGAAAATGCAATGTAAGGGCTCACTTGGCAGGAGGCCTAGCATGTAAAGTCTTCCATGATTATTATTATCATTGGGATAATGTGGACTCTACTTACTCATGGGAGAAAAGGTTTGTGTGAATGGAAAACAAGGCAATTTTGGCAGTCAGTTAAAGATCTAGATTTTCAGGATAACATGTGGGAAAAATTTTAGAACCTGAATGTGTGTAATGGTGGGCCTAGAACCTGAAAAGCAACCTCGTTTCTTTCCAGGGAAGGAATTCATTCCATTTTGGAGCCAGTTTCCCAAGTTCCTTATCCCTGAGGGCTTTTAAGGCTTAAGACTTAGGTATGGGAGACGTGACAAAGGACAAGTTCTCGAGGCTGCCTGCTCTTTGAAGGCAGAGCCAAGTCTTGTTCTGTTTTTTTGTTCTGCTTCCACCACCCAGAGCAAGGTCTGATATATATAGGGGTTAGCTAGAAGTATGGAAGGAAGAAAGGAGGGAGGGAAGAAGGGAAGAATGAAAAAAAAGGAGGTTTGGGTGGATGGATGTTTGGATTGAAGGAAGTAATTGAGGTGTCTGGGGGAGAAAGAGAGTAATAAATGAGAGCTAGAGTAAAATAAAAGAGAGGAGACATAAAAGTTTACAACTTTTGCACAAGGCACCGTTATTGAAAAGCTCACTACTTATTGCTATGCCCATATATTCTCCCTGCACACAGATCTCATTCATAGGTTTTTATAATAAATATTTTTACCACTAACCTGGATGATGCTGAGAATAAACAAAGAAGGCTTGATCCTCCTCCCTGAGAGGGGAGTGTACAGCTTCTTATATTATTCAAGCTAGTGATCTCAGTGCCAGCTCTTTAGTAGAGGACATGGGCACCCTCACTTGGAAAGGCTGCTCCTAGAGTGAAGGCAAACATCCACAGTCAAGTCTCAGGTCTTTGTATTTACCATGGGAAGGAAGGTTTCATGAAATATTTACTTTTCTGTGCCAGAACATCACTTTTAACTATTTGCTACCTTTCTATGAAGCTTTTGGGTTTTTATTGTTTAAAAGGAATGTCATGATCTCATGTGGTATGACTCTAATTTTTATTTTAACCAGGATTGATCGGAAGATGTCAAGTGCTCACACCAACTATAAACTAGATGAAGCACAGGCTATAATGAGTGAGCTGCGCACCATCAAGAAAGCCATTTGTACGGGTGAGAAGGAACGGCGAGACCTGATGCAGGTAAGGCCTGGGCCACCCCCTACAGAGCCCACCTACTTGCCTGCCTGCCTACCTGTATGTTATTTATTACATATTATATATTTATTGCATATATAGTTCACATATAATATTATATATACATATTTTAGGCACACATACACACTGAATTTAAATAAGTATATTAATTTCCTGGGGCTGTTGTAACAAAGTACAAACTTTGTGGTTTAGAGCAGTAGAAATTTGCTTTTCTAGTTGTGGAGGCCAGAAGTCAAAATCAAGGTGTCAGTTAGGCTGTGCTCCCTCTGAAGATTTGGGTGGGGTCCTTCCTTGCCTCTTCTTAGCTTTTGAGGCCCCAGGTGTTCTTGGCCTTCCTTGGCTTGTAGATACATCACTCCAATCTGTGCTTCCATTGTTATATAGCCTCCTTCCTGTGTCTCCGTGTTCAAATTTCCTCTTCCTTTCAGGACACTAGTCATTGGGCTAGGGACCACCCATCCAGTATGACCTCAACTAGATTACATCTCTAAAGACCCTGTTTCCAAATAAGGTCACTTTCACCAGTTCCAGGGGTGAACATCTTTTGGGGAAACACCATTCAATCCACAACAATGGGTGATAAATTCATGCTGTTAATATTGAAAATAATTCAAAAGATCAGTGATAAGAGGTCTTGCTATTGCCCCAACTTCTCACCTCCCATAACAACTTTTATTCTCTTCTTCCATAACCTTCCTGTGTTCATACAGATGCAAAAATATGTGAATACTTGTTAAAAGGTCCTCACACAATGCTGGGACTATTATACTGTTCTGCTATAGCTTCCTTATGTGATGATAACATTCTGTACCTTTTCCCTTATCTGTTCCCAACCAGCTTCTTCATTCAAGATGGTTTACATAGGGGCTGGGGTTATAACTCAGTTGGTAGAGCATTTACTTTGCATGTGTGAGGCACTGGGTTCAATCTTCAGCATGACATTAAAAAACAACAACAAACAAATAAGTAAAATAAAGGTATTGTGTCTGTCTACAACTAAAAAATATTTTTAAAATATATGATTTACATAGTATTTTACCATGTGGATAAATTTGAATTCTATAACTGGTATCATTGTGGTTTTATTTGATTTATGTTTTTTTCCCCTTGATCTCCAATAGTTTCCATTAGTTTTCTAAAAAGTTGAGCTTTTGCAAATGGACATATGCTTGTCTTGCTTGATGCTGGAATGCATTCAATGCTTTGGGTTACAGCCTTTATTTTTCACTCAACACCTAAAGGAGTACATAATGCCTGGTAGGCATTTGCCTAGATTCTGTAGTATGTAAGACTCAAGGGGCATATAAGGCACAGTTCAGACTTATAGACAAAAATGAGACAGATGCATAATAGCTTCCTTACTTGGCAGTGCTTCCTACACAAGTCACTTCAAGGCCCTGAGTGTCTCTTGGAGAATTCCCATGTGTTCATTAAAATGCAGTTTACCAAGCCCTGTCCCAGACCTCCAGAATTTCTAGAAATGGGACCCAGAAATCTATATGTTCAGATGACCTCTCCAGGCTATGATAGATAAATAGTCCATTCATTGTTAGATTTTTTTTTTTTTTTGGCATACTGGTAGCACTGAAGACAGCTTCAGTTTACTAAAGTCTCTGTGCATACCCTATGTCCACTAACTGTATTATACTAACCAATATCCAAGGGTTAACCAGGTGATATTTCATGGCAGAAACACAGAGGATTTACCCTTTGAGGTCAAGCAGGCTACCCACCCTGACCTCTTTGAAGCCACAAGTGCACAGTATTGGGAAAAGCCACCCAGTTCACTTGGGTTCCCCACCATGGCTGCCTTCTTCAGGCAGGATACACAATTTCTGGAAGAAACTTTACGCCTTAGTTTCTTCTTTCAGGTCTTCATAGCCTCTCCAACTCTGAGAAGCTCCAGAGAGGCCTGGGCAAAATCTTCTTTCATCAAAACCAAGTCGGTTGTTGTATCTTTCTTATATGAACTCAATCAATGTGACTGACTCTTTCCCAAAAGCCTTTGTCTTTTTTTTTTCTTTTGAGCCAGTTGCGTGAGTTTCAGTGCACTTGTGCATTCTGGTTCTGGGGTCTGCAGTGTTGCTGAAGGTGAATAGGTCCAAAAGTCTAAAAGAAATGCTAACACATAAGATTTCTCTTAAACTTCCACACAAAGGAGTTCCATGTGCCAGAATAAATACTTTTTCTAATTTTTGGCAACCTAACATCCATATGAGATTACTTTTGACCATGTAGAATTATGACTGAAAAATCATGTTGTAAAAATACATAAGCATTGTCTGGGAGCTGTTGTTATCTTCTGTGGTTAATCTATGAAAGTCTCAAGGTGGCCTGAACATTTTGGATGGGAATGCTTGTTTCTTTTTTTTATATATCTTTAGAAAACATACAGGCTTAACAAACAGTAAAACTAGTACCATAGCTTTTTTCTATATGCATGTGCCTCCAGGAGGACTCAATCGCTATCTGATTTAAATAATTTAGAATTTTTTTAAAGGTGGATTCAGTGAGGAACGTTTATTTTAACTCTAATGAGAATGAAGAATAGGGTGGGATGACTCTCCAGTCATAAGGCTGCAGAACTTGAACAAAAGTGAAAGGACTCCTCCTACAAGAAAGGGAATCATCATTGTCTCTACTCAAAGATCTTGTCTTGATCTCTTTCAGAGCCTGGCCAAACTTACTGATAGCTTTAAGAATAGCTGCTCTATTACCGACTCTATCCAAGATTTTTCTCACAGTGCAGGCGCACTTGGTGATTCTGGTGTCTCTCAACAGTTCTGTGATGCTGGCTCTCAGACTGATACCATGGGAGAGGTATGCTTGCTTGTGTTGTCCTCAGTCATTTGGCTTAATTTTCCATTTTTATTTCAGAAATATTTTAGATTTTGTGCCATTAGGTTTGAAGAAAAAAATAGTGCTTCTCACATCCAGCTGCAATTGTCTAGTGATGTAGGAAGCAATTGAATTGCTTGTTGCCTTATGATTAAGATTCTTAAAGTAGTAGACTCCAGATGGGTGCAGTGGCACATGTCTGTAATCCCAGCAATTTGGGAGGCAGAGGCAGGAGAATCTCAAGTTAGAGACCAGTCTCAGCTATTTATTGAGATCATGTCTCAGAATAAATTTTTTAAATAAAAAGCTGGTGATATATCTCAGTGGTAGAGTACTCCTGGATTCAATCACCAGTATCACAAAAACAAAAGAAAACAAAAATACAAATGTCAGACTCCTTGTGAGAATTGAGTTTAAATGTTATCTTGATATGTGACCAGATAAAGGACCAGATAGTAAATATTTTAGGCTTTGCAGGTCCAGCAGTCTCTGACATGATCACTCAGCTCTGTCATTAGTGAAAAAGCATCCCTAGATGATATGTGAGGTAATGAGCTTCACCGTGAGTCAGTAAAGTTTTATTTACAAAAGGAGGCAGTCTGCTGGATTTGGCCAAAGGGCCATAAGTTTGCTGATCTTTAGTTTAGACCAGCAATTTCCAAAGGCTTTGTGGTTGTGCCACCTTTGGTTAGACTTTGTTGTCATTTCTTATTCTTCTAAAAGAATGTCAGGAAATCAAATTAAAAGAAAATTTATTTGAGACTTGGAAGAATTTCATCAAGTTCCCTTTGATAATTAGTGAAGTATTAAGTTAGTCACAAAAACAAAGTTGGGAGAATCATCATTTGAAGCTGAGGAGTGAATATTCCAAAACACATTATTGTAAATTGGATTGAGTGAAGTTTAAAATTGATTTATTACCAAATGGAAAGCAGGTCATATTTTTATTAGGGCTTATTAAAATAGAATTGAATATACAGTGCCTCCAAATTAAATAAAAGTAAAGCAGAAAGGAGAACACCAATTGATGGGGAAACTTTGGGTTTTAAGTAATTAGCTAATATTTTGAAAATTTGGCAAATAGTGCCTTTTTAAGGTGAGTATAATGTACATTAGGACTTTTTCTCTCCTGGATGTTCTGGAAATGTCCTATATTCAATTTTACCCTCATTATTGTCAAAGGCATACTTGGATATTTTGAACCAGGCATCTTTGGTTTAGAGAACATGCTCGCCATCTGTAACACACAGAGAAGGGTCTGAATCAAAAATGTTTGGCATTTTTATCTCAAGATTTAGGAGTAAAGGAAGGAAGCAAGTGCAAGACTCATTGAATTCCGGGAATGATTTCTTGCTGCTTGTCATAAGGTTAGATTTAGAGTGTAGAGCTCTAAACTAGTGTGAGAGGAACAACTAAGGTCCAAGCTTCTCTAATGATTCCATCAAGCCATTCTAAACAGATCAGGTGGGGAGTGGTGCCTGGTTCCACTACTTTAGCTGTAAATTGTCATGTTTATGAGCTCCTGCAGTTTACTGGGGCTGGCCCTGGGTTGGCAGCTTTACAGCTGTTGTCTTGGTTTAACTAGTTTTTGTTGTTAATATTTTTATATAGGATTTTGTTACTTTCAAATATAATTGATATGAAAATATTAAGGCACAACTACTGATCATACTCTGGGTATTTAAATTGTAACTCTAAAGTTACACCCTAATCCCTGGCTTTTTGAGACCTTGCTTTCTTTTACCTTTGGTTCTTTTTCATAACTTGTGACCTTGAAAGGCATTCTCTAGTCCCTACCTAAGACAGCTAGTCCATCTTCAGATCTTGGGACTTTGTAGTAGAACATCATTATAGTTGTCCCTCTGTATCCACCAGGGATTGGTTCCAGGACCCCCTCAGATACCAAAATCTGAGAATGCTTAAATCCCTTGTATAAAATGGCCTACTAGTAGCATATAATCTATACACTTCCTCTCATATACTTCAAATGATCTCTAGGTGATTTTATTATACCCAATGCAATGTAAATGCTATGCAAATAATTGTTATACTTATTGTTTAGGGAACAGTGACAGGCAAAAAGTCCATCCCTGTTCAGTATATATGTGACCATAATGGGCCTAACTATATTTTTGATCCTTGACGGTTGAATCTATGGATGTAGAACTCATAGATATGGAGGGCTGAATGTATTTTGCATTTATTGAGGAACTAGACAGTGTAATTCACAAAGTGGGATTTTTTTTGCCTTTTTATCACCTTATGCTAAATAATTTCCTATTTTTTTAAAAAGTCAATTTGTTGCTTTTTTAGAATTATACAATAGATGGATATACTTACCCCATTTTTAAAAAAAACAAACAAAACATCAAAATACAAGTTTTGGGAAAACAAAAGTCTCCACAGCCTGAATCTTAAACCTCACCAGCCAGAGGTGGCAGCAGAATATTATTTGAAGTGTTTCATTCTATGCCTTTGAAAAATTGGAATTGAAAGACAAATTAAAAAAAATAATTTTCATTGTTGCTGAAATTTTAAGTGAATTTTCTGGTTTGAAAATATGTTTTTATTATGTGTTTCTCTTTTTGTTTTTGTTTTTCTCTTGTGTTCCGGAAAGTTTGTCTTTGATGACAAAACAAGACTTGTAGACCGAGTCAGACTTAATTGGCAATATGAGGAAGCCCGAAAGAGGTAAGAAGCACATTTTTTCAATCTTGTCTTCTGTTCACTTATTTCCCACAGAAAAAGGCTTAACACAGTTCCACATTTTATCTGATGGAACACAAAAATAAAGAATCTTTGTTGTTAATGTAGCTTCTTAATACACATGGCAAACTTTCAAGTGCACTTAAAATGTGAAATTCTCAGTATTACAGTTATAAAGATGTGATTCAATAAGAATAGAGATCTTCCAGTTTTCTGTTTTTCACATCCAGATGTGGTGGTTCAGTAGTGTAGAATACAATTGAATTGCTTATTGCTTTGTGATTAGGATTCTTAAAATGGTAGCCTCCTTCTGAGAATTGAGTTTTAATGTTCTCTGGACACACATGACTTTCGAGGGCATGGGTCTAAGTGCTATACCGGGTAGTTAAGAACTCCTTTCCCTCCCTCCCTCCCACAGGCAGCATCAGTTCCTCAAACCAGCATAAGCAAAACCATCCTCTGTTTCATACAGGTGCCTTCTGATGCCATAGACTGATGAAAAAAGCCACATATTGAAGTTTAAAAAATGTTTGAGTATGCATTGGGTCAGCAGATGATAGCAGTGCCTACTTGCTCTCATTTTGTTTGGAGAGAAGTGACATTTATGTTGACCTGCATTGTAACTCACCTGCCTTCTGGAAATTGAGATTCATTCAGGTCTATGCATTGGGTTTCTCTTTCTCACCTCCCTCCCTCCCAGTCTATACCATAGGACATGGGCAAGTCAGCAAGGGCAAATTCAAAATCTTCACCTCAATGCAAAATTTTTGGTGCAGTATTTTTAGCATGGCATGTTTCTCCTCAGGTGTTCAGCACCCCCATTTTCAAGGTTCTGATTCTGCCTTAGCTTTTATGTCCTTTTTTAAGAGACTTTCTGTTGTGCCTTCTGGAAAGAGTCTTAAAGCCAAATTATTTAAAAATATGTGCTTCAGTGAAGGATATATTTTTAAAAGATTTCTTAGTCATAAATGATATAGCTTATCATGGTCGGGAGAGGAGCAGAATGCCAGGTGGGGTGAATGAGTCCTTCTGGAAGCTCAAAAGTTGGGCCTGCTCAGTATACTGTACAGTTCATAGAAGTCCGTAAATCTACTTTGTTGGCTTTTAGAAAATGCAAAAATAGTAAACCATCTGTAAAAGTAAACCATCTGACTCCATGCCACAGAGCCTGCAACTACCATGGTCCTTCTGCTTTCTAGGAGATGTTCCACCCAATTCTTCCTGGCTTTTTAGGGAGTATTTGTGATGGGCTTTAAATGTCCTCCTAGAGTACCACCAAGTTCAGTTACTAATATTGGTTACCTTCACGGTTACATGCTTCATCCGTCATGTGTTCCTTTTCTGTTGTTTGTGGGTGCTTGTGAGGGGTGATTGTCTTTTCTGTTCCTCATCTCCTTCCTCCTATTTCTAAATGGAACTGCAAAGTGTGGGTGCTGGAATTTGCTGTGCTGTATTAAATACAGAAACTAGATCATTGCTACACTTAGAAGCAAATTGTTATGTGTGTTGCTGTGACATTCACCAAATATAGCAAGTGATTTCTTTGTTTTCTAGAACTGGTGTCAAGATATTGTAAGTAACCATTTAAATGTCACAATACATTTGGTGAAAAATGAATTTGGGAAGTTACTGCACTTCATCATTACTTTAATACAAATAATACAAAAATATTATTTAAAGATTGCTAGAACCTTGTTAGGAAGTGCATTGCAGTTACAAGTGAGGGTCCTGGCCCCAGTGTTTTAACCTTAGTAACCCAGTAGGGGTTTTGAGAAATTCCTTTTATGGCCTACATTAGAATATTTAAAAATTGGAGATGTGGTTTAAACTTGACCTGGGTTGGCTTGCCCAGTTGCTAACTATCCTTTTCTCACTAGTACACTGGTCTTCATCATAAGGAGTAGACTCTTTAGCTCTCAGGAGATTTCTGGCAATATCTGGAGCCATGTTTAATTGTCACAACTCTAGGGAAGATACTACTGGCCTCAGGTCTTCAGAGCCCAGAGATGCTGCTCAACATCCCTCAGTGCACAGACTAGGTACAACAGCAAGGACTTATCTGGCTCATCATGTCAGAAAGTGAGAAAGTTTAATAAAAGACCTGATGAGGATGACATTGGCTAGAGGGGTAAAATAAAGAATCCAAGAGAGGATGGCTGGAGGCAAGAGGGGAAAATGTGTAGGAAGTAAACCTTGGAAAACACTTACCTCCAAGGGTCCAAGAGCAAAGGAGGAGCACCTAGCAAAGGATTCCAGGAAGAGAGCAGTGGAGAAGTCAAATCAGTTGGCCAACAGACCTCTGCCATCCCAAGGCATCCTGATCTACAGAGTCTAGGGGAGAAGGAGAGCAATGGCAGATTTTCATTAAAAAAAAAAATATTGGCAGTCCTAAGTTAGCCCCTCCCACCTCCTTTCTTAAAATTTCCCAGCCTGTAGGAGATGTCACAGAGATGGTGCTCTCTGCTGGATTTAAAGGAGGAGAAAGATAGAAACTTCTGAAGAGTTTCCAGGGGCCAGCATTATGGATGAAGATCATTTAGATGGGAGATTTTGATGGTTGACAATGAGTTGATAGCTTCAGTGGGCTTCAAGCAGCTTAGAACTAAACTCAAAGTGTTCTTGTCAGTAGAATTTACCTTAGCCAGTTGATTACAATTCATTGTTTCCAGCCCCTCCAGGTTCTGCTTCCCTTTCTAGTTGCCAGATATCTGGGCATCTTCTAGCCCAGTCAAGCTGACACATACAATTAATCATTACACCTTCCTCTGCAGAACCACCTGTGCTTTGCCAATTCTAAAAAGTGGAGATGTTTATGCCTTTATGCATTCTGGAGAAGTCTTTCCTTGGATATGTAGATTTGAGATTGTTTTTACGAAGTACAAAATCGTCAAAATGCAGAGTACTGAACAATGTATTCGGATTTAAAGGAAGTTTGTGGAAGTGGAATTTATAATTCTAAGTTTTAGTATGATTTCTAGAGAATTCCTTAACTAAACTACTACTGTCATGGTGACCAATTTTGTGTTTTCAACTCTGGATCATGTAAAATGTACCAAAAGAACTGTTTCTTCCATCTCTTCAGGAACATCTCTTTGGATACTCAAGTCAGATATTATGTTAGGAATATTTTCACATTACTGGTTGAAAATTTTTAGAGTTTTTAAAAGTGAAGTTGGAAGAATATGTCTTCTTGAAGCAGTCCTGATGACACAGATGACTTCTTATTTTTAAATTAAGAGTACTTGTTCTAGAACTGTGCACAAACTCTAGCTGTTTCCATAGAAACACTAAGTTCAGATAGGAACAATATTTGGTCCAACCAGTTTCTCTGTGTATTAATTTTTGTTGCCAGGATCAGTTCTGCTGTACGTGGTTGTCAGGAATCAGTGGTATTATGATTCCAGTTCAATTTGATCCATCACTTGGATTTTACTTTTATTTTGCAAGTAACTTTGTATCTGGGTTTGGGGGAATGAGGTACAGCTTTGAGGAATGAAGAAAAGTATCTTTGCCACTGCAGTCTATCTTTCCCATTTGGGTCAAGATAAGAAACCTGAAGACTTTCTGATATATATATATTTTTTAATTTTAGGAAGTTGCTTTCAGAAGATCTTGCTTTCCAAGGGGAGAAGCTGTTAGAGCAGGGAAGGTGGGGACAGGGCTGGATTTTGATGTATTGGTAGAACATTCTTGCACCATATGTTCTAGATGCAGAATTGTCAAATTTTCCACATAGAGTTAAGTGGAAGCCAGGCACGGTGGCACATGTCTGTATACCAGCAGCTTAAGAGGCTGAGGCAGGACGATTTTGAGTTCAAATCCAGCCTCAGCAATTTAGGCCCTAAGCAACTTAGGGAGACCCTTTTTCTAAACAAAATATAACGAGGGCTGGGGATGTGGATTAGTGGTTAAGTGGTTTAATCCCTCGTACCCAAAACAAAACAAAACAAAAAAAGTGGAATGGACACTGATTTATCAATACTTCGTTCAGTCAACTGAAGTGATTTCATCTTACATCTAACTTAGATCTCAGCTGAGGTTTTCTTTTTTTTTAATTTTTTTTTAAGAGAGAGAGAGAGAAATTTTTAATATTTATTTATTTATTTATTTTAGTTTTCGGCGGACACAACATCTTTGTTTGTATGTGGTGCTGAGGATCGAACCCGGGCCGCACGCATGCCAGGCGCGCGCGCTACCGCTTGAGCCACATCCCCAGCCCCTGAGGTTTTCTTTAACCTTTGCTTTCATTAGATATTTACAAAAAGAAAGCTAAGAGAAAAATGTAAGAAGTATTGAATATGTAGTTACAATTAAATCTGAAGGCATGATGCTCTAAGTTGACACCATGTCATGGAATGTGGGATTAGGATCCATCATAACTCATCACCATTAACTGGAATTGTGGGTTGCCTGGAGTTTTGTTTGCTATTCCAGAAAGCAGCAGGATTTTAGAAAGATGAGAAATTATACAGTAGATTGCAGGTTTTAGGTATTCGCATAATTGGAGATTGATTACTCTTGATATGCCTCAAAACTTCTTAATATTAGAAGTGGGGGCTGAAATTGTGGCTCAGTGGTAGAGCGCTTGCCTGGCATGTGTGAGGCACTGAGTTCAATTCTCAGCACTGCATATAAATAAAAAAAATAAAGGTCCATCAACAATTAATAAAAATATTTTTAAAAAATATTAAGTGTGGGGCTGGGGTTATGTGGCTCAGCAGTCGAGCACTCAACCTAGCACGTGAGAGACCCTGTGTTCAATCTTCAGCACCACATAAAAATAAATTTTTTAAAAAAGTTATTGTGTTCAACTACAACTAAAAAATATATTTTTTTAAAAAAATATTAAGTGTATTTTTCCTAGAAAAATGCAGATCCTTTTAAGATTTTCATGTGAATTGTGAAGGTCTGAGTCATTTCTGCAGCATAAATGCAGGTTTCTATTCACGGTTTAATTTTCTAGGGTTGTAACAGACAAGGTGTTCGGGCAGAAATTGTAAGGGGAAAATTATTTATATTTAGAACTGTTTATGGAATAGAAATTGGAAAACACATAATAAATATGAAACCTGATTGCTTAAATGAGGATTTTACTTTTATTTCTTCACTATCAGGGCATGGGGACATATATGTTAAATCTTTTAAAGGCATTTGTGACAGATTATATGTGGGCCATAAAACGTATTACCCATCAAAAATAAAAATCAATAAAACAGGTAGTTGACTTGTAGGGGAAAAAAAAGAAAAAAATCCTTGCCAATTTTAAGTGGCTCTCAGTTCTCTTTAAAAATGAACTTGGAAAAGTTTTTTTTTTCTGCAAACCTTAATGATGACCTTGCTTTTCTTCCATGTATTTAATTTCACTAAAATGATATTTCAAAGAAAAACCTTTCTGGAAATTGCTTTTCCTTTAATACCCAGAATAGGAATGATGGCCCTCACAGGAATAGGGTTCCAACCAGTTGCTCAGCTGTTTGGCATGGATAAAGAGAAGGTGCATCAAACCTCAATACATCTGTGTTTAGTCTTAGGCAGGAAGTCTGTTTCTTCAAGTAAACCTAACATGCTAAAGATACTCCCTGTGGATGACTGGCTCTATTCCAGGCCAGCAGCATGGTAGACAAGGCACACTGTTTTAAAGGCACAGCCATTTTGTCTTCCCCCATGGAGAATATGTGAGTGATCAATTGTTGAAGAAATCATTCTAGTGCTTTTGACTTTCAGAACAGACAGACAGATGTGCCTCTCTTGACCTGGCTGAAGTGGACCCCAAATGTCTACACCCAGAGTTTGGATATAAGGAAGGAAATTGTAGTTTTCAATATATGCCAATATTCTTCTAGATTCATAGCTCAAAAATAAACGTAACCATTTGCATTGTTGTGAAATTTTATTTTAAAAGCACAGTTCTCAAGCAAAGAAATGTTTGCCTATGTTCAGCATAGCCTAAATAACTTTTCCAGATGGATTGCAAGAAATCAGCCTCATCCGGATTTTGTTTCTGCTGAAGAGGTCGTCCCTCCCCATATGTCTTTGCATATATTTCCTGCAAGCTGTGGAAAGTTACAGTTTGGCTGCTGTTCTATTTCTTTATGCCCACAGTAGAAAAGCCTCTTGAAAGTTGCCCTTTGCTTCTCTTCCCTCCTATAGTCATTTTCCTCCTCATTTTTTTTTTCAGATAATGCATATTACTTGAGATTTTCCTGGAAAGGTTATGATTATCTGAGACTGAATCTTCTGCCACCCTCAGCAACTTAAATTCTTTTAGATAGCAGCTAACTGAGAGCTGGTAGACTCAAATGGCATCTTGAGCTCCTTACAAACCTCAGGAAACTTGAACTGGGGGGTTCAGCTCAGTGATAGAACACTTGCTTGCCTAGCTTGCATGAGGCCCTGGGTTCCATCCCCAATACTGCAAAAAAAAAAAAAGAATAGAAAAAAAAAACCCCACAACAAAACACCTCATAAAAGTCAAAAGGAGTGTTTTGAAAATGTCTGTTTATATTATATGTATGATAATTAGATCTGGCAAGCTTTAGCTAGGCTCAAATAGGCTTTCCTATGGATCAGATAAATTGAAATGAAAAAAAAAAAAACTATGGGACACAGTAGATTTTCTCATTGTTCTCCAAATCAGTTATATTTATTTTTGACTTATCTACAGTAGAATGTTCCAGAAATTTCATTTGGTGTGTCTCATATGAGTCTGATTAGAGTGTATATTTCTTGGGCTTCAGTTATATGACTGTCATAAATTTTAATTACTCTAATTAGACATAGGTGGATGCTTAAGCCCAGTTTTATTCCTAACCCTGTTGGGCTGCCTCTGTCATCATTTTTTTTTTCAGTGACATGATTTGTTATCATTTTTCAACACATTTTCAGGAAATTAGTTTTAAGTTAGAAAAATTGTCTAAGGAAGCTACTGACACTCAACTAGTTTCTTTGCCTTCCTGGAGAAATGGGCTTGAGTTGGATGTATGCGTTTGAGCCCTAACCTGTATACCCTTTCCTTTCCATGTTTGGATTGATTTGGTACCTGGAGAAAGAGCATATCATGTATGATCCTCCAGCCAGGCAGATGGGTCCTTGTGCTCATGTCTAGATCATGCAAAGCCTGACCTGGCATAGTACTTGACAATGAGTTTTAGTGTATGGGCCAACTTCAGTCAATTGGTTGTATCTGTGTGGAATGTGGTGTTGAGAAGGACTCTGAGGGCTGGGCCCAACAGGCAGGAAGCCAGATTTGGTTAGTGCTGTGCATCCTGGGCACAGGAGGTAAGTAGTCTTGGCAATGCTCCTGCCCCATGTCTGCCATCCCAAGTTTAGTGAGGATGATCCCATCAGTGCCTAATGCAAATGCTTAAAACAGGCCAGTTAGCAACCCCCAGACGAGGCAGGGCTGCAGAGGAGGCAGCTTTGTCTTGGAGCAGTGGGTGTCCACCTTGAGCAAGCATCAAAAACACCTAGAGGGCTTGACAGACCCCAGATTGGCAGGACCCATTCCCAAAGTGTCAGATTCCACATGTGGGGCTGGGTTCTGAGATTTGCATTGGTAACAGGTTCCCAGGAAATTCTGAAGCTGCTGGTCCTGGGACCCCACTTTGAGAATTGCTGCCTCAGAGATATATGTACCTGCCACTTAATTGTTTTCATAGTACTCTCTCATCTTAAAGAAGTCTTTGCATGTTTTTAGGTATGTGTACCAAACTCGATCCTCCAAATCATTGGGTTCAGGTTGGGTCTGGCATAACTAGTTTCTGCCTGGAAACAGGCAGCCTTACTTGAGGGGCTTAAAACATACTACTATTTTAAAGGGTGATTTACAAATATGAGCTATGTCTGTTTCACTTAATCAGCATTAGATACCACTGCAGGACACAAAGTATGATGCAATCTGTTTGCCAGGCAAGCACTGAAGATTCAAGGGCATGGAAAGTGACAAGATTCTCTGTTTTTATACCCTAAGGATTGTCACACTGACACCTTTGGTGAGATTGACTGGTTTGCATCTAGCCAGATGATCACATGCCAACTTCTACATTCATGGGGATGCCTCTCATTCTCTCATATATTTGCTGGCATGCTTGCCCACTGTTTAATGCTTGAGCTTTTGTTGAGCATCTGCTCTCAGCAGGGTGTTGTGTGTTCACATCTGGTTGAGGTCTCAGGTGCAGGAAGTAGCACATACAACCAGCATATGTGGGCATGGGTTTTGGCTGTTCTCTCCTATATTTTGTTTGTTTTGTTTTTTGACCCCCAATGGATATTAGTGCTTAAGCATGGCCAATGGGAAAGAAAGCCAGAAGGTTCTCTCAGTATCCAGCCTAGTGTTCAGCTACTGATGATAGTGGGGTGGGGAGAAGTGAGCAGCTTTCCTCTACTCTGGGACATCATCTTGCAGGAACCAGGGATCTGGGGAAAAAAAAAACTAGTGTGGTCATGTTGAGGACTGGTGGACTTTTTGTCAACTGTTTGAAGCAAGTATGAATCTTGGACAGGGTAGATTATACAAAGGACTTTTGCACTATTTTTATGACCCATCATTCCCAGACACTCTTAAGTTTAAGGTAGGTGGCATTACTTAACTATTTACTTAACAAAGTGAGTTTACAGAATCAGTGATGGTGCAGAGAATGTATAAAGGTGATTTTTTTAAGTTCATTGACATCTTCCTGGGCCCCCCTCTCTCAGGGTCGCAAACATTCAGCAGCAGCTGGCCCAGCTTGCTAATGAGTCGTGGCCAGGCATGGCTGAGGCCGACAGGGACCGGCTGCAGCTCATCAAAGAGAAGGAGGCCCTGCTTCAAGAACTGCAGCTCATCATTCAGCAGCGGAGGTCGGCTGAAGATGTGGCCAGGCTGGAGGAGGAGAAGAGACGCTTGGAAGAAGAGATCCAGCGTGCGCGCGCCACATCTGCACAAGGAGCAACAGAAAGGTGGGCTGGTCTCCAGAAGTTCAGGGGCAGGTGGGACCAGATTCCAGTGAAGAACCAACTGGAAAATCTTAATTAGATAGCATATATATGGCTTCAGCATGTTCTTGATTAGTACAGGCTGAATATCCCTTATCCAAAATGCTTGAGCACAAAAATGTTTCCCATTTTGAAGTTTTTCAGATTTTGGAATATTTGCATAGACTGTACTGGTTGACCATCCCTCATTTGAAAGTCTAAAATCTGAAGTGCTTCAAAATCTGAAACTATTTGAGCATCAAATATTTGAAAAGAGTTTGGGAGTTTGGAGAATTTTTGCATTTTCAGATTAGGGATGCTCAATCTATACTGAGAGCAGCTACTGAGGCATTTCCTTGCTAAGTCAAGGGGAGATGGGAACATGTGCTTTCCATGTCATGAGAGGTAATAGCTCTTCCCAAGGCTCCCTGAGCCCCTTAGAAATGGGAGATAATAGAGAAAAGGGAAGACAGGTGATGCAGCACCTATATGGAGCCCTTCCTAGAGTAGGTTCCTGGTGCTTTCACCTATATTTGTGGAACAGTACCCTGTGCTGGCTTGGGGCACCAGCAGGAAGATGGGGAGACAGATGGTGGTACAGCTTTGGAATAAAGTGGCTCTCTTGCTCCAGAGAACTGGCCCCTGTAGCACTGTGGAAGTCTACCTACTGCTTTTATCTCTGACTTTCATTTCTGGCCAAGGCAGCCTGCTCTTTCTTTTTTAGTAGGAAGTCAACAGCCTATCATGGGTCCATTTCTAACCATACCTTTCCTAGGTTGGTCTTGAGACTCTTTCAAGCATAGGATACATGAAGCCAGAGTCTTTTGTATTCTTCAGTGCCAAGTTGTTTGGCCTTTCATCATATGCCATGTCTTCTGGTTTCCATTTGCCGCCTGCAATCACAGATTGTGTTGAAGGCTTGGTCTGCTTTCCACATTTAACAGCTGTCCGCAGTTTATCTGTGGCTATCTGCTGAGTTTTGGAAAGCCCATCCCCCAATTGTTAATATACTAGCTCCCTAAAACTCAGTGTATCAACATGACCTTATTCTGTATTGCTATGAGCATGAGCATTCTCTACCTAGAGTTTAAGTCACTTAAATTATTTGATCTATTCAGATGTACCCACAACTAATATTTTATCACATCTTATGACTGTTCTTTGTATGTGTTGGGCAATCTTTATGTTTGATTCTCATTATTAATCTTTTGGATACATGAGTGTGCATTATGGTATTCAGGACCCATGGCAGCATTGAAGAAAAGGAATGGTGTTTGGGAAGTTCAACTCCTGGTAACAGGCAGAGAGAATTTTGATCTGCCTGGGATGATGGCACCCTATATCATCCCACTCAAACTGAGTTGAGTCTGAATCTTAAAAGGAGCAAGGCAACTGAAGTTTTCTTCTGTGCTGCTGTGTTTCTGCACATTTTTAGTTAAACACTGCCTTCCATTTTACCCTTGGTATTCTCCTGTGTGTGTTCTGGATAGAAGGGCCTGGCGTTCTTGTTCATTCTTGACTAAGGATGGTAGATTTGGTCCCACAGTGCTTCCTGATTCTCAGGAAGCCCACCCATGCACCCTTGACTGTGGAAATTCGGCATGTGTGAGTACTGTGGTCCCAGAGTACAAATTCCTGGAATTCCCTAGAGTCAGTGTTACCCTGATGCCTCAAGGGCTGCAACACCCAAACTGGACCAGCTTTCACCCAGATGGCAGTTTCTTATGGGACCAGGCTGGGTGTTAAGTTCTGGGACTCAGAACCCTCAACTGGAACTGAATTGATCCAAGGGCATGACCTTGGCTAAAGAGGAACATACACATGTGCTGAGCTCTTTCCTCCCATGTGCTTTGTCTATTCTATCCACTGCATTGTAAGATGAGGTCAATGCCCCAAGAGAGCTGCTACTGCTCTTTGATATTTTGTGCCGAGTGGATGCAGACACATTTCTCAGTGTTGCCTCCCTTTATTGAGCTGTGCTTGAAGACTGGAAGTGTGGGACCCATGCTGGGAGACTTCCTCTAGCACAGACTGAGGGGTAGTAGAAGGAGACCCAGTATGGATCTGGGCACAAGGAACCAAGGTTTGTGTCTTAAGGCTGAGTTGTGGTAGCTGTATGACTGGGGCCTGGCCTTTGCCTTGTCTCAGCTACAGTGTCATCAGTATAGAGAGTTCCAAGTTATAGATTGAAAGCCCAGTGAGGGGCATAATTTAAACTTCCCCTTTTTGACTCTTCACTCTCTACATCTTCTGAAAAAAGAAATTAAAGATGGTTTTTTGAAGTTATTTCCTTTGCTAAGCCTTAGGTAGGAATTTAAGTGTAACATTAAATAGGAAAATCTTTCATGAGTAAAGGAATTCTCTCTTTCTTGCCATACATAACAACAGAATTGAATGATAGGAAGTAGGGGCAGTGCAGAGTCTCAGTAAAATGCCTTGACTTAGGTTCAAGCTGACTTGACCAAACCTTAAACTTGCATAGCACAGGCAAATTACTTTCACTCCTTGAGTATCAGTTTCCTCATCTATAAAATGGGAATAGGATCAAGTGAGCAGTCATTGAGATACAACATATAATATGTTCTTTCTGTACTTGGCCTTGCTTCTCTTGATATGACCAGCATTATTATAAGTGCTCAAGAACATTGTGCTTTCTTATGTGCTCATATATCTCTTTTGGCATAACATGAAAAATATACCCAGTAGAATGTCAGCATTACTTTTTAAAAGTTATTTTTGTTTGTAAAAGTAATAAATTGAAATGTTCTTCTTAAAAATTAAAAATTTTAGACAAGCAAAATTCTTTTTTAAACATTATAACTGGAAGAGTTTATTATAGCTGTTTTCAAACTTTTGGGTTCCAGGACCTCCTTCTACTGTTAAAATTACTAAGGATCCCAATGAACTTTTGTTAAAAGAATTATTCTAAATCAGTCAATATTTACTGCTTTAGAAATTAGAATTGTGAAAATTTTAAATATAATAACAATTTTTATGCATAAATAGCATTTTGAGAATTTTTCGAAACAGAGTGAGAAGTATTATATTTATTCTATATTTCTATAAACCTCTTTAGCATCTGGCTTTCCAGAAGGCAGCTGCTCAGGCATTTGATCTGTTATCATATATCACTTGTGGTGAGCATATGAAGATCTGACTGCACATGGATATATAGTTAGGAAAGAGGGGAACTCTTAGAATCCCTGATGGATTCTTGGGGATACCCTGGGGTCTGTGGACCACACTTTAAAACCATTGGCTTGAATTTATGCTATTCAGCTTTAAAATTGGTTTATAGTGGCTCTAGTTATTAAGGTATTTGATTGAGTAGGAAATGTTGTAGCCCATGTCAATCAATGGAGCTTGACATTGTTTTTGCCTAGAAAGGGGCCTAGAATGAGGAAATTGAATTTGTTCTAAGGAATTCTAGCAGATTAACACATGATCTGCCTTTGGGCCAGTTCTACTCTAGTCTCCCTTCCGTCTGTTCTTCTACCCACCCATCCTCCTATCCATCCACTTACCCCATCCACTCTTCATATGACCATGCATGCTCTGACCTGCCTATCCACCTATCCACCCACCCACTCATCTACTTACCCATCTGTCTACCCATCTATGCTCCCACTCATTTTCCTGTTCATCTGCTGCCCTGTCCACATACAGATCAAGTGTCTGCAATGTACCAGGCACTGCTCAGAATGTCAGGGATGTATTTTTCCAACAAATCCCAGATTTTATTGTCTTGGCATTTAAGACCTAGATGCTTTTAGAACTGATAGTCATTCCAATGTAACTCATTTGTGGGGAATTTTATAGTTGAATTTCTTGTTATAAAAATATACTTCCTATTTTTCAAATCCTCCAATAGACTATTTTCTTACCTGCAGGATTCTACTTCAAGAAAAAAGAAATTGTCTACTTATGCAGCTGGAAGAAGCTACCCGCTTAACATCTTATCTCCAGTCCCAGTTAAAAAGGTAGGTTCCTTTAGAAGAGAAAACTATACTTAATTATCGTGTTACAGTGACATGTACATGAACTTTATTAATTCCCGTTAGCTTGTATTTTTCTCCTACTGAAGCTTGGAACCTAAAGTGGTGTAAAAGAGAACAGAGATGTAGATAGATATGTTATATTTTTAAGATAATCTGCTAACATATAACTCGAGGGAAATGAGTAAAAATTTGGTTTCATAATAAATAACAAATCTGATGTCAAGTTTATTGAAGCCTTTTGTAATCTAACAGCCTTAGAAGTGTTCATATATGCACATAGACATTTTTATTTTGGGAGTTTTAAAAAACTATATAATTTTTTTTTTGTACTAGGAATTGAACCCAGAGGCACTTTACCACTAAGCTACATCCCCAGCCCTTTTTATTTTGAGACAGGGTATTGATAGGTTGCTTAGGGCCTTACTATGTTCTCAGGCTGGCTTCAAAATTGCGATCCTCTTGCCTCACCCTCTGGAGTTTCTGGGATTACAGGCATGCCCTGCTGCACCTGATGGATATGAATATTTTAAATATTCATATTTAAATATTTGGATGCTCAAAATAACCACCTTTTCAAGCACATACTGTATTGTGAGGCATAATGTTAAGAACTTTATTTGAATTACTTTCTTAGTTATTCCTCCTAACAGTGTCATGAGATAGGACCTGTGACTGCCTCAACCCCAGCCAGCAAGTGGGAGGCTCAAAGAGGTTCAGTAACTTAGCGTGCAGCCAGCTAGTGACTGTGGGGAGGACTCCAACTCAGGCACGAGTCTTTGTTGTTGCTCACTGCCCTCTAGTGTCATTCAAAAGAACAAAGGAGGTATCAATGAAAGTCTGCTCAAATACTCCCAGGGGTTAGGGCTAGGCTGGGATTCGCTGTTCCCAGGTGCAGCAGCCTAGTTGTGCTGCTTGGCCGTGGGAACAGCTATGTGCGTCTCTAAGATAGTTTCTCTCTCCTTTCAGCCTGTCTGCCAGCACCCTGACAGTGTCCTCTGGGAGCAGCCGCGGGTCCCTGGCCTCCAGCCGGGGATCACTGGCCTCCAGCCGCGGTTCGCTGAGCTCAGTCAGCTTCACCGACATCTACGGCCTCCCTCAGTACGAGAAGGCCGATGCTGAGTGCGGCCAGCTTCTACGCTTCGATCTGATTCCTTTTGACTCCCTGGGACGTGATGTCCCCTTCTCAGACCCTCCAGGCCACCCGGGCTTCCACAAGCAGAGGCGGTCCCTGGACACGCCCCAGTCGCTGGCATCACTGTCCTCCCGCTCTTCCCTGTCCTCTCTGTCGCCCCCCAGCTCGCCCCTGGACACACCTTTTCTCCCGGCCTCGCGGGACTCTCCTCTGGCGCAGTTAGCGGATGGTTTTGAAGTGCCAGGCCTGGGTGCCCTAGACAGACTGCGAGCACAGGCCTCTGCTTTGGGGGATGAAGATTTGCAGGGCACTGCATTACTTCAACCACACGGATTCTCTGGGGATGGGGAAGGACCTCGTGAGCGTGGACCCCAACTGGTTGGGGCTCCCACCAATACAAGTAAGTGGTGATGCTTATCCTGAGAAGCAAGATTAGAAACTCAGGGATGATATTGAAGTGGCTGGTGGCTTTTAAGTCCCTGGTGAGCTATAAGTTTACAAACATTGATAGGGTTAGAAGGGTACAGACCTGCTGTAGGGAAAGATAATTAACATTGACAAAGTAGTCTTTGCCAGGTATTTGGCTTGTTTTAAGAATATATTTAATTGTTGAAAATAAGGGTCAGAACCACACAGTCTCACACATTTGGAAGTGAATAGAGAGGTATCAAGGCCTCAATGAGTTCTGCAGCCCATGTGCCAAGGTAGAGCATACGGTGTGTGAGCCCACCTCAACCAGTGTGTGAACTAGTGTCTTGTAGTCTAGTGGGAAGCCTACTTCCTTTGTCACTTTGACTTCATCTCTTTATCCTAGTTCTCATAGTATTCAAGGATGAAATTCTTTCAATTGTGGAAATGAAAATAATGGTATAATTTCAAAGACATGTTAGTAAGCATTCAGTCTTTTCTACCAATTCTATTTTCTGGTGATCTAGCTAGGTAAAGCTTCATCTGCCCAGTTGTGTTAGTTTGACTCCTCTTTGGTGCCAGGGTGCTATTGAGGACAATATTGATCCTATGTGCTTTTTAAAGCCAAGCCCCAGCATCTTTAATTTCCTTAGGTTTTAAGCAGGATTAAGAATAAGGTCTCCCATTCCTGAAGTTCAGCCCATTTAATTAACTTTCACTTACACAGCAGAAATGTTTTAGACATACCACTTAGGCAAACACTAGACAATTTGTATAACATAGTGGGTCTCAACCAGGGGTATTTGTGCCCCCCCCCCCCCCCCCCCCGCCGGGGACATTTGGTAATGTCCCTGTGGGAGAAATTTCTTCGTTTTCACAACTGAGGTGAAGGATCCTACTGCCATCTAGTGGATAGAGGCTGGGATGCTGCAGCACATGTGTCAAGGTAAAAATTTTACTGTACACAGTGCTGCCCGCACAAAGAATGATCCAGCTCAAAATGTCAGTAATGCAGAGGATGAGAAACCCTAGAAATGTACTATTGAGTGTTTACACAACAAAGGGGAGAAATAAAACTAGAATACAAAATTAATGAGGTGTAGTGGAAACAGCTTCAGACTTGCAAACTGGAGACCAGGATTCTGTTCATTTTGTTTCTTGCCCTATTGACTGCTAGTGTGTGACCATGAGCTGTCTGTCTCACCTTCCTTGCCCTTGAAGGAGATGATCTTTATGCTCTCTTCCATTTGCTACCATTCTGTTACTTATGAGATTGATTGATTGATAGATGGAAAGGTTGATTGATCTTTAGATCTAGCTATAAAATAGTAGCCTGCTGGCATTTATATATTTAACCAGAATTCAAGCTGCTCCATGACTTTTTTGGCATTTCAGTTATTTTGGTGTCTTCCCCTCTGTGTTTGAATGCACACTTTTTTAAATCCCCACATATATTGTTTTTGTAATTCACATATACAAGTAACCTTCATCCCCTTTGTTCTTCTTTACAGTCCTACCAATTTCTCTTTAAAGTTTGAGATTCAAGACTATCAGTCTGTTTATACAGAAAATCCACACAAGATCTAAGGGCCCCTTTGGGCCATGGAAAAGATAAGATGTGGGTGGGGGGAGAGGCGGCAGGGGGAAGGGGGAGCAGACTTAATTTCTTATCCTGGTTTCTTTGCTTTCCTTCCCACTCTGTGGCATACTTTGTAATGGTGCCTTTTAGACTGGGAAGTGTTTGCTTTTCTACATTTATATACTGCCACCTGGTGATGGATTTGTGCATAACGCTGTCAGTTGACGTGTCCTTAGAAAACTGAAATAATTGACTGACTTAGTTAATGGGTCCTGCTGCATGCTCCTAGATGTCTAGGTTGGGTAATTAGTTTCAGGTATGTACTCAGGGGGCCTCCTTGCCTCCCTTGATGCTTTTGGAACTCCTGAGCACATGGTTGTCATAGTTTCATAATTATGGAGCTTGGTGTTTTATCAGATTTCCCCCATTCCCTTGTTTATCAATTCCAACAGTCATGCAATTCTCTCCACCCTTTTAGTCTTGATGGAAATAGTGGAGTCTGTTTGGCCCCAAGAAAGGTTTCAGTAAGATAAAATTTTTAGTAAGATAAAAATCAAAATTGCCCAAATCCATACAGCAATGATTTCTTGTTGTGTTTTAAATCAGTCAGAGAACAGAAGGTAAGACAGAGGAGTGGGGCAATAGACTGTAATCTTGAACATTTTTTACATTTTTTCTACAGTCCTGTCTTCCCTGGATTTTGAAAGCCAAATGTGTCATGATTTTGAAATACTTAGCTATTTCATCCACCTATTAGTATTTGCTAATAAAAAGGCATAAAAATATTGACTTTGCTAATCTATTTATTGATGTTTTTATTATATTCATACTCTGTTTAGAATTATTGACTTAAATTATGCCTTTTTTCACTTTGTGCTCTTTTATCTCTTTTCTCATGCGGCTCCACAGAAACGTTCACTGTAAGTGATATTGGATTCTCCTCGTTCCCCTTTGTTGCTCAGGATGTGGGCACATCTTTTTGCAGTGAATCCATGTTTAGGATGACTGGGATGTAGTTTATCAATTGTCATTATTTTAATATTAATTTCCATGATGGCTACTAAAATCATGTAAGAACTTTTCTAAAGCTTTCACTGTATATTCCACACGTGTATTTTCTCCAGAATATAACAGCATTCATTATTTCAATATGTCAGTTGGCAGCTTTGCCCACAATGTATTTCCTTCCTTTTTATCAAGCAGCGTTCATTTCCTTGGGTCTTAGTGTTTGTCTGTCTGTATGACTGACCGTCTTTAATGATGAAAAGGACAGAAACATTTTAAATGAAAGTGTAAAAGACTTTTCATTCTTTACTTCACTGGCATTGCTCCCCATGGTCAACCTCATTGCCCTGAAGCCCAAGAGTGCAGGTCTTGGATGTGAAGGATAGAGTGTTTCTGTGCTTTTTCTCATCCAGGGCAACTCCTGCTTGTAGTTGCTGTGTGAATTCATTGACTTAGCCTGAGCTCTATGAGAATTAGTTCCTTAATGGCCCTTCTCTTTTCCTGTACTCCTGTCATAATGATAAGACAGAATTATGGTCAGGGTTGCACTCATAGGTTAGGGTTACCTGGAAGTGCATAGGATTATTGCTGGGGCTATTTTATTTTATTATTTTTTTTTTAGTTGTCAATAGAATTTATTTATATGAGGTGCTGAGAATTGAACCCAGTGCCTCACACATGCTAGGCAAGCACTCTACCACTGAGCCACAACCCCCGCCCATACTGGGGCTATTTTCTTAAAGGGATTTAAAGCTACATCTAGGAACTATTCACAGTGTCAGGGCTGGGAATGGAAATAATGATGAGTTTCACTTATTAGAGATTGATACAATGCATTGGAAGGTTCCTTTTGCAGTTCAGGACTGGGGGTTGTGGTCCTTTCACATGGTAGAGATGAAGAAAAGAGCTGGACTTGAGAATCCTGGCATACAATTTGAAAGTCGGTACCTGTGGCCACTCCAGAATGGAGCCAGCTTTTGTCCCTGGCTAGCTGAGGCAGGAGCAAATAACTAAACCCCACTCCACTGTGTGGCATTGCAGATCTTTGGAAGGCTAACTTTTGTGTCCAGATGACAGCAAGAGAACAAAGGTGATAGCCTTATATGTTTGTTTTGTGCAATGTTTAATGTATTTGTATTTAATTGATGTGAATAATAATTTGGTTGAAAGAGAGATGGTCATCTTTGGACTCACTATTTCCCTCAATTTACAAATGCACAGATGTCAAGATTTTTCATTTGTAGAGCTTAGAGAGACAAAGAAAAGTATATAGAGAAAAGAGGGACCTGCTTTATTAATAAGGAACATTATGATGCTGTAGCTTCATATTTTATTCTATATTCTAACCAAGTGTGTCCCTCTATACAACATTAAGACTCCTGGAGGGGCTGGAGATGTGGCTCACGCGGTAGCATGATCGCCTGGCATTCATGAGGCCTGGGTTCGATCCTCAGCACCACATACAAATAAAGATGTTGTGTCCGCTGAAAATTAAAAAAAAAAAAAAGACTCCTGGGCACATAATCACATTAACATGGAAAAATTACATGCATATTCTATAGGTTTTGTTTAAAGGAGCTTATTGCTGTGAGGGAAGGGGTAGAAACAGTTAATGAAATGTTAGGAAGAAAAATCTCAATGATTATATTTAGCTCTTGATTGAAATAAATATGAAACACAAAAATAAACTGCCAGGGAATGGTAGTGTTTTAACCCAGGAAAGAAATTCTGGAAGCCTGTCTGGCTCCAGGGCAACTGAGGAGGGTACTATAGTTACAGAGTTGGATGCGCATGAGCCTCAGCATACTCCTGGCAGGCTACAGGTTTTTGAGGAGGTGCTTTTAAAGGATTGGTCTGGGTTCTACTGTGTCCTCTTGAAGGTTTGAAGGTCACTAAATTTTGTTAGGGTTTGTTTGGATAGTTAACATTGTGTCCAGTTGTAAAAGTAGTTGTGTGTGTGTGTGTGTGTGTATTTGTTATATAAAATACCAAACAGCATGAAGAAGGAATGAGAAAATGAGAAATGCCACCTTTGGAGAGCACAGTGCTGTTCTTTTCTTTTGGTTCTGAGGTCTAAACATGCAGATTGAAGGGTCTTCCCCACATCATCTTAAGTTCTCTGTATTCATTAAGGGGTGAAAAGAGATTTATGAATCCAAGTATCTTTGTAGACAATTTAAAAACTTTCAAAGAAGTAGCCAGAATTCTGTTTCTTTAGTTTTTCAATCTTACAAACAATTGTGTGTAGTGTATTTCTACGCATGTGCATATTATGGTGTGTCTCAGGAACACTTAGTAACTTAGCAATTCTCTACAGAGGCCCTGGCCTCCTGTGATGTCATCTCCTGACCCAGGTGTGTCTCTTGTTTGCAGCAGTGACTCTGCGGGAAGACAGTGCCAAGAGATTGGAGAGGAGAGCGCGCCGTGTCTCCGCATGCCTGTCGGATTACTCACTAGCCAGTGATAGCGGGGTATTTGAACCTCTAACCAAAAGGTTAGGAGCTTATCTTCTTTCCTTTTTCCCAAACTGACTTACCAGAGTTACTGTTACACATGAAAAGGATCCATACTGAAGCTGTCATATATTGAAACTGTTATGTAGAAGTTGAATATTTTTCTAACTTTTTTCAACTTCAGGAGGTTGGGCCTTAGAAACCTGCAAAAATAACTCCTCTGGCTTCTGTGGCATTTGAAGGTTGGCTCTCATTCTGGTGTTCTAGGATGACTTCTTTCTCCCTGGTCCCAGTGAACTTAAGGTTTAAACCCAATAGAGCTGGAAAAGGAGAATCAATACACACATAAGAGAGACCTGCTTTTCTGGAAAAGATATTCCCTAGAAGTGAATTTCCTTCTTTCTTATTTCCTTAGCTATAAGAATCCCCTTGCAATGAAAAAAAAAATGACTTTTTAGACTAATGTGATTTATTTATTTTTAAAAAAATATTTTTTAGTTGTAGATGGACACAGTACCTTTATTTTATTTATTTATTTTTATGTGGTGCTGAGGATCGAACCCAACACCTCACATGTGCTAGGCGAGTGCTCTACTGCTGAGCCACAACCCCAGCCCCTAATGTGATTTATTTTGATTGACTATTTTTGATGTTATGTTTTCTTTGTATATTCGTAAATTTCAAGTATAAGACATTTCAGTTATTTCAAACTTTTAAATTTTTGAATGCTGCCTTGAATATTATATGGAGTTTTGAAAGGTATGCAAAGTTATTTTCCAAAACAAAACAAATACAACATAAATAAGTAACAGCAGTTGGTAGGCAGGTACCCATGAGAGACCCCATGGATCCTCAGGATCCATGCCCTTTCATACGCTTAATGAGCTTCTTTATTTATGTCACAATTTGATAAAGCTCTTCTCAGTAAGAGGCACCCTCAGCATGAGAGAGTTTCTATACAACCTGTAGTGATCAGTTCCCTTTGTAATAAAGCTGGGCGAATTTCCCCTTGTGTTCAGGAATGAAGATACTGAAGAGTCTGCTTTTGGAGACACATGTGGTAATGACGACCCCCAGATTCACGTGGGATTTCTGTGAGTACAGAAGCTGCCTTCCCTGTTACTCTTAAAAATGCCTTGTAGATTGGGGCCCACCAGGTGCTGCTTCCCAATCCTTGATACACACAGTCCTACTTCAGCCAGTCTTAGGTGAGGTGACAGAGGTGGCAGGAAGGAGTGTGTTTTTAGTCAGCTTTTTCACTGCTGTGACTAAAGGACCTGACCAGCACAATTATAGAGGAAAAAAAGTTTATTCCAGGACTTGCAGTTTCAGAGGTCTTAGTCCTAGAAGGTTGGCTCCATTCCTCAAGACTGAACATCATGGCAGGAGTGTGTGGCCGAGGAAAGCAGCTTACATCATCAGGAAGCAGAGAGATTCCACTGGCCAGATACAAATGTGTACCCAAAGCTATACCTCACTTTCCACCTCCTTCCTCCATACCCTACCACTTCAGTTACCACAGTTAATTTCTATCAGGGGATTAATTCACTGATTGAGTTAAGACTCTCACAACCCTATCGTTTCTCCTCTGAACCTTCTTGCATTGTCTCACACGTGAGCTTTTGGGGGACACCTCACATCCAAACCATAACAAAGCAACAGGGAAAAGGGGTTCCATTGTTGTCTTTCAGCACAGATATTCACAGCTAAGGACTGTCACCTCATGGAGCTAAGGGGTGTGGGAGCCATAATGGGGTACTGAAAGCCCCTGGTTAAGCCCGCCTCTTGGGGATATTTTTGCACATTACTGCCAAGAGTTGAATATGTTAACTGTGGTGCAGATACAGATAATGGGGTCCTTTCATCTTCCCAGAGAAGTCACCAGGGGTTTGCAACACAATACTTTTTAGTTTCCAATTACAGTTTCAATTGAGGCAGTAACTGTACTGTTCACACTAGCAGGGCAAGAAGTTCAGATCCCTGGTGTTTTCTTTTGCTTGCTCTTGTTATTTTGTCCAGGTTTCTTGGAGTTGACACTGTTGACATTTGGAAGCAGATCATTCTTTACTCTGGGGGGTTATCTTGTGCACTGTAGGGTGTTCAGTGGTATGCCTGGCCTCCATCCACTGGATGCCATGATACTCACTTTCTCTCCAGTTGTGACAATAAAAAATGTCTCCAAACATTGCAGATGTCCCCTGGGGATAAGGTGGGGCAAAAATCCCCTTCAGTTGATGGCCACTGCTGCAGTCCAGTCAGAGGGATTTTTCCGCTGTTGGGGAATTTGTGGTCCACAAACTCTGGCTTTGTTTTCTAGGCATGACAGTGCCAGCGAATGTCTTCTTGTGCACGTGCTCCAGCTGAGGAACTTTGCTGGGCTGGTAATGAAGGAAGACTGTAAAATGTAAGCTCCCAGCTTGGAGATTTAGGGGCCATGTACAGCTAGTGATGGCCTTTCAGGGGCCCTCCTCCATACAGCGTGGTGTACCAACCTGGTCTACTTGGCAGTCTGGGGAAGGAATTTACAGTAAATCACTAGGGAATATCTATCTGAACTATAAAGAACTATACGTTTTAAAAAGAGCCTAGTTAATTATTTGAGGCAGATGAAGTTATGTGCAGTGTTGACACCAAGGAAGTACCTATCATATGTGTTAAGAGGCCTCTGACTAGGATTAGGGAGACTTTGGCTGAGGAGAACAGGAAAAGTGAATTGGGACCACTTGGGAGTCACCTAGTAACCTCGGCCTTGATAGTGGAATTTCTACCTCTCTGCACTCCATGGCCCTAGGCAGGTACTCAATGGAGTGGTCACTTGCCATTCAAGACCAAGCTTGGAACCCCCCTTCCTTGAGTCTACTATGTAACTAGTCTTCTAAATTCCTTGGAAGCACCCTGATGTAATTGGCTGAGGCTCCACCTGTGATTCAGCTTACCCTAATGATATATGTTGCAGTGGTGATAAATGTTTGAGAATCCCCCATGTGCCAGGTTCTAGGCTGGGAATGGAAAGGGCAGGGAAAATGTCAGTGCCCACATGTGTTATAGGCTGACAAGTTGACAGTCAGTGCTGTGAGGAGACAGCCAAGGAGTTCTTGCCAAAACACGATGACCATCGGTACTATGGAAGCCCCTGGGGTATTTAGGACTGACCTCAAAGTTTTCCTTTGGCAAGTGAGCTCCCGGGGCACATCCAGTTCTTTGGGCTTACTCTTAGTTTACAAAGGAACTTTTTCCAAAGGACTCTGAAGTTTCCCCATGGGTACCAAAAGAGGGCCACTCATGAGGGTACACACTTGCATCACGTCAATAAGCACTGCCTGCCAATGCTTTCCTCCTGTCTGCTTCCAGCCACGTCCGCGTCTACTTGCCCCCGCTCGACTCTGGCACCCCCAACACTTACTGCTCCAAGGCTCTGGAATTCCAAGCCCCGCTGGTGTTTAATGAAGTGTTCAGAATCCCTGTGCATTCCAGCATGTTGACGTTGAAGTCACTTCAATTATATGTGTGTTCAGTGAATCCACAGCTGCAGGAAGAACTGCTGGTATGGCGCCGTGGCTCGTGCTGGCTCACTGCTCCATCCTTCCCTCCCTCTTCTCCCTCATTTGTGTTTAAGTCTTCTTTCCTTCCTTCCATTTTTTCTTTTAAAATTCTTTTTTCTTGGTTTTTGTCTTTCTGCCTTTCTCTCTTTTCATTTGTTCATTTCTGTTGCCTTCCTTCCCCCCTCTTCTTCCTTTCTTCTCTCCCTCCTTCTCTTCCATTCTCTTCCCCTTCCCACTTCTGTGGGTAGCTTAGAAATGATCCTAATGTCAAGTAGTTTTTGTAACTGAGAGTACAGAAAGGGATGAGCTAACCAATGATCTTGACCAGTGATTTTTACTTTAAATGTATTATCTCAATATGGAAAACCCCCATGCAATAGCTTCGATATTATCCCCATCGTCAGTCAAGAAACAAAGTAGGGTTGACTGATATGACAAATAAAATATAGGATGATCTGTTAAATTTGAATTTCAAATAAATTATGAATGCATTTAGTATATTTTAGTATAAGTATATATTATTAGTATATTAGTAATTAATAATAAGTATATATTATTAGTGTAAGTATATACTCATGCAATATTTGATACTTTCTTGTAGTAAAAAAATATATAGCTTACTTGAAATTCAAATATGCCTGAATTCCCTGTATTTTATCTGACAACCCTAGGATTAGACCTCAAGAGAGGCAACAAATAATCCTGAGAAGCCAGCCATGCAGTGTCCAGGCCAGGACTTGGAAGCCAGGATGGGTTATTTCCAGTGTTGAAATCTTTCCCCTGGCTCCTGTGTCCTGAGTGGTAGAATTAGGGAGTGTAGAGTTTAACAGGCCTTTCTTATTTCAAAAATTCTGAGGGAATCAGTGGTCCATCAAGTAGCCAAGCTCTGGGTCTGGCCCAGCCCTCCATATTGCTACTTTGCCACTGTTCTAGCACTTTCTGATTGTGCTGAATATGCAAACAGGGGAGTCACACTTGTTAGGATCCTCTGGGACCACTTTCATTGTACTGTCATGCTTCTACTAAAAAGAAATATTTTATCTTATGATTGAAGGGTGAACTTGATATTTTAAAGGACTTTAGTTGCTAAGGTAAAATTATTCAGTTCTTGTTCTGGCTTTTCTTTTTAACACCTATGCAGGGCATTGCTCAGATTAATTTAGCTGAATGTGACAGTTCAGGCGACATGCAGCTGCGCTGGTACCCTGTGCAGGTCTTCGCCAGCTCGGAGCCACCGAGGTGGAGGGAGAATGGGCGTGCTGGGGAGAGTGTCTCACGGGACCCTGGGCATGCCAGCTTGGGAAAGACGGTATGTGGCCCTGGTTTAAGGAGCTGACCTTTCATGGCTGCTTTTATGATTTTGAGACTGTCTTTGCTTGGGGAAATCATTTCTAAGAAGATTCTATGTGGATTTAAAGTCAGAATGTGGGGACATTGAAGTAGCATTTCAGAGGAAGATATAAAAATGGAATATATCCATATCTATAGCCTTTTCACAGTCATGCTTTTTTAATGCTAATGTGTTTATGATCACCAGAGGTTTGTTGGTTATCTTTAAATCTGACTGTTTGAAAAGGCCAATGAGTATCTTGCTGTGAACAGTGGGTGGGTTCTCCCATTGCAGAGCCATCAAGGCCCACAGTCCAAGGGTGATTGGATTGCTTATGGTGAACCATGGTGCCCGCTGTCTGCTTTGCTGCTGTAAGTTTGTGACTAGGCTTGTTCTCAGAAATGTCTTTTCCTCCTGCAGGATGCAGTGACGGTGTTACTGGCTCGAACCACAGCGCAGCTGCAAGCCGTGGAGAGAGAGCTGGCCGAGGAACGGGTGAAGCTGGAGTACACTGAGGAGGAGATCCTGGAGATGGAGAGGAAGGAAGAGCAGGCCGAGGCCATATCTGAGAGGCAAGTGCTTAGCTCCTAAGGGCGTTCGTGCAGTCCTCCAGACTCCACCCCAGCCAGGGGATGAGAGTGCTTTACACATCTTCAGGGAGATGAGGCATATTTTCTTAGGGCAAAACCAATGGGTGTTGTTCAGCCGTGGCTCTCTTGGTTGGAGCTGTCTTGGGGTACAAGATGCTTTTCTCATTTCTGCTGGGTGATTCTCTGATTCTGTTGCTCAGGAGTTGGGAATCTGATGAGACGTTTGATACTGATCTGAAGAAGGCCAGTTCCCTGAGCTCTCTGTCCCAATTCTCTGTGCAGGATTTAAGCCTTCCCCTTCCCCTCTGGAATGTCACTTGAAAGGTGGGATTGTGGACTCCCCTTCACCAGGTCTGAATACAACAAGGTCCCTTTAAAGTCCCTTTGTTGCTGTTTTTGCTTTTCAACCTCCTCGTTGGGATCTAATCTATTTGCCACACAATTCATCCATTTAAAGTGTAAAATTCAGTGGTTTTCAGTATAGTAAAAGTGTGCCACTATTACCATAGTCCGTTGTAGGGCATTTTCATCTTGCCAAAAAAACCCCACCCCTTCTTCCTCTCCTCTAACTCCAGGCAAGCACAAATTTACTCTCCGTCTCTATGCACTTGCCTGTTCTGGACATTTTCCATAAATGGAATTTTGCAGTGTCCCTTTACATGTTACTAAAGGCAGAACATTAGTGATGTCCTTGACTCTGTAAAGCCCTGCATGTAATGGACAAATAATTCCTATGAGCAAGCACCTCTAGTGAAGTGGTTGGCTTGATCCTCTCTGGAGGCAATTTTATATTGTATTACTACCACATTTTTCCATGCCATTTTTCATCTTTCCAAAGGTTCCCTGTTTTTCCCATGGCTTCCCTAAATTTAGTTCAAGAGGAATTTATTTTTGGAAGGATAGTGCATAGCAGAGGGGGAGTATATTATGTTCAGGGATGGTCAGAAAGACAGGAGGGGCTCTGGGGTAGGGGTTTCTGGCATTTCCAGTGAGTGGCTGCAGTGGTTGATAAGAAAGACCCATGCTGTTCAAAAGCTTTGAAGTGTTTTCTTCCCTAGAAAGCAGAAATGCCCCTTTATTATATGAGGACAGCAACTGTTTTCAGTCAGTGAATAGAAATGGGTTTCATTGGGTTTCTCTACTACTGTGCTCCAATAGCAGCAATGAAAGCAATCCCTTCTGATGAATATTTGTGGGATTTTGTCTACCTTTAGGAGTTGGCAAGCTGACTCGGTTGACAGTGGCTGTAGCAACTGTACCCAGACCAGCCCCCCATACCCAGATCCCTGTTGTGTCAGTGTCAACTCCATCCATGGACACACATTTACTGGCCAGGCAGATCCTTACAGCTCTGAGAAGCTTCAGCCCCCACCTCTTAAGGTAAGTAGAAAATGTCAAGGGACTTTACAGAGCCCCTTGATATTTTAATGTATAATATCAGGTGCTGTCCAGAAAGAGAGGCTGTGTACCCCTAAATCCATCAGGGGAAATGTGAGGGGATGGGCAGAGGAGAGGCACTAAAGAAAACCAGAGATGATGGGCACATGCAGGTGTGGAAGGACATTATTACCAACAAGCACCAGCCACATGGACATCATGGAATGTGGGGAAGCCATGGTATACAATGCACAGTGCTGTTGAGTTTGGGGGTCATAGCTAAGCTAATACTGTGTTTTCCTGAGAGCTGAAGAAAAAAATCATCTGGTCTAACATTTGTAAAGGGCTTAATGTGGTGAAGCAGGTATTGCAGAAATATTTGTCAATTTTATATTTCAAGGAAAGGATAGCTACAACTAAAAATGTAGGTTTTTACTCCTTTGTGTGCTGTTTTGTGGTGATCCATTCCTGTCTTCAGGGACAAATGTGTCAAGCAGTTTCCTGGGCCTCGAAGGGTTTGAGCACCTCTTGCTACTTACTCTTTGAAACACGAACAGCAAAGCATCCTTTTACCCCATCTGGTCAACTATGTTTGGTTGACATTGTATCAGTGCCCTGCTGAAATTTTATTACCCAGACTGTTCAGTACACACACACAAAAACCATTTATCACCACGGCCCCTGCCCTTGTCCTGAAACACAAGGTAAAATCTACCCCTTCGGCAGCTGCCCAAGCTGCAGCCTGTACAGCAGGTTTGGAGTAATTTTAGACTAGGCTGCCAGTAATTGCTGTTGTTCTACTTTTTACAACCTTGAAAAGCAGTAGTCTAAATCAGGGTGAGTGGCTGTGGGAGGCTAGTTTGGTGTTTCCCCCTTCCCCAAATTTTATTTTCAAAAATCTTCAAATCTACTCAAAGTTTGCTGGATTAATGCAATAGATATCCATATACCCATCACGTAGATTCCCCAACTGTTAGTCCATTCCCACATTTGCATTCTCTCTTTCTGTGTTGGCATATGTAGTTGCTAGGCATCATAGATACAATAAGGGGAAAAAACAAGAAATGGCCACCATTAACAGGGAATCAGACAGTTGAAAGGATGAATCCGTGAAATACAATTGTGTTCTATGTTAGGTAATCAAAATGTCCACTAAAGAATCAGATGGTAGGGAAGAGGGGTTTATATTTCTGGAAACATTTGTAATTTTAGGAAAACTTTACATTTAAAAATGCAAATTTGCATTTATATTTGAGAAAGGTCAGAATCATAAAATAGTGTGACTGCTGTGTAAAACAGCATGACAGTTTCTCAAAATGTTAAAAATAGGACTACTGTGTGGTCCAACGATCTCATTTCTGGGTATTTATCCAAAAGAATTGAAAGCAGAATCTCTGGCCCCAGGGAATCACCCCAATCTGCTTTCTAGCTCTGTGGGTTTGTCCATTCTGCATAATCATATAAATGGAATAGTATAATACATGACTTTTGTGTTTAGCTTCTTTTGCTCAACATAATGTTTTTTTTTTGAAGAGAGAGAGAGAGAGAGAGAGAGAGAGAGAGAATTTTTTAATATTTATTTTTTAGTTGTTGGCGGACACAACATCTTTCTTTGTATGTGGTGCTGAGGATCGAACCCGGGCCGCACGCATGCCAGGCGAGCACACTACCGCTTGAGCCACATCCCCAGCCCTCAACATAATGTTTTTGCAATTGATCTGTATTATATTGTATGTCAGAACTTTGTTCCTTTTACGGCTGAATAATATTCCCTTATGTGGATAGAATCTGGGTACTAGATGGTGAATCTGATGAAGGGTTGGTGACAAGTGGTCAAAATCTACTTATCTTGGACACAAAATCAAGAGGATTTTCTCTTGGACCATCCTGAGATGGTCCAGGATGGCACTAAGATGTCTTTTCCATGAACAAATAGAAAGTAGAGATCCTTGTAAAAGGCTCCCCCTAGTGTGTAGAGAATCCCAGCCATTCACTTTGGACACATGAGGTATGAAATGCCAGTTATATTTCAGGATGAGGTTAGAGAGATGGTTGTTTGCACTGTTTATTGCTTGTGTTATGGAAGAAGTCATAGTAATAAATCAACTGCTGCCCAGGTCGACAAGGAAACCAACACAGAAGATCTCTTCCCAGAAGAAGCAGTGAGCATCCTGAAGGAGCGGCCCAGCCGCCGCACCCGTGGGACACCTTTTGTTCGTAGTAGCACGATTGTACGTTCTCAGACCTTTTCACCTGGAGCACGAAGCCAGTATGTTTGCAGGGTGAGTCATAATTCCTTTGTCACCTCTCTGGATATTCCCTTATTTTTTCTCTTTGTCATGTTTTCATTTTTACTATTTATGCCAAAAGAGCTATGTATCTTCCCAAATTCTACCAGTGAATCAATGAATACCCTATGTGTTGACAGATGAAATCCGAGTTCTGCTGTTGCCTCCCCACTCTTGCCTGGTGCCTGTCTAATTCTGGATCCCTTCAGGATTGGGATATATTTTCCCCTGGTTTTTTAATGTTATACTTATGCCAACAAGTGGTCAGGAGGCGATATGAATCATTTCTACATTAGTTTAAGGAATAGCAAGTAAAAACAGGAACTGTCTTTAGTTGTGACCTGGAAGACCAGGTCCCTCTGCATGGTTACAAGTCCTGAAGTGTAGCTGTACCACTGGGTAGTGATAACCTGGAAGAACCTGGATGCTAAGGCAGTGGGTTCTGACTCAACTATATGTAAATTCATATCCTGTGAGGGAAAATGGGGATCCTCAGTGGTTCTCAACCTTGGCTGCACCTTGCAATCAAATCACATTGGAAGGCTTCATCACATATTGATGTCCAGGTCTCACCCCCAGAGATTTGTCATTGGTCATAGGTGGGGCTTGGCATCAGAACTTTTGGAAACTCCTAGATGGCTATAATGGGTGCATAGGACTTTGAACTCTCAGGTGGGTGGAGAGGAGACCCAATCCTGGGTGGTCATTGAAGACAGGACAGTGAGATGGAGGTTGGTAGGCAGTGATGATGTGACAACGATAGCACAGACCTGGACAGAAAAAGAGGTTATTTGTTTTTTTGTTTCTTTTTTTTTTTATAGATAAATGGTCATGATGCTTACTCATATAGTTGGCTGCACTTGATTGAAGACTGTACTCATGTCTCTACCTTATTTTGGACTCTTGCTGAATGACCTAGGGGTAGACTCAGGGCTGCTTCTTGAGGAGGATAGGGTAATAATGCAGCAAAGTTTTGTTCACCTGGAGGAAGACTGGCAGTCCTTGTACAGTGCTCTACATTCTACACAAAAGCTGGCATTTACTGGCGATGTTGTCAGAGGCCTCATTTTTATGTATGTTGGTATCTTGGTGGGGCAGGTTCACTGATGTGCTACTGCATTTCCTGAGTATTTCAGGTTAACTGGCATAGAAAATAAGCCGTGAAGGCAAAGACTTGGGCTTTCACTCACACATACGTTGTTTCTGTGGTAAGACCCTGACACCACATGAAATCCACAGTGTCATGGTGTGTCCCATAGAAGAAGGCATCCTTTATTTTTCCTCTTTAAAACCAGACTTTTCCCTTGACTGGCATAGCAGGAGTTGGTGGTGTTGGCTTGTTTCACTGCAGCAATGAGTCTCTTGTTTCAACAGCCATTCTCCCAACTTTCTCTGCCCAAACCAGAAATGCAGCAAATGAAGATGATTGATAAACAGTAAAAGGTGCTCAGGACAATGCTGGCTTTTGTGAGCTTCATTCCTAATATCAAGTTGTAGTTGGAATCAATAGGGAAAAAATGTTATTGACTCAATCAGTGTGGAAACTCCACATGGTTCAGTTGATAGACCTAAAATGGGACCAGGATGGTGGCTTTGTCTGCTTTGGTTTTGTCTTTCATTTTCCCTTGAAACTTTTCTGTAGGTTTTGTTTTAACTGAAATCCAAAGACCTGATAAGAGCACCAGAAGTCCAAAGTGTATTTGTGTGCCTCTAAAGAGAAATGAAATAATACCATTCAGAATACACACAGAATGAATAGTAAATTTCTGATAAAGTTTCTGAACATCATTTTTTTTTGATACAGCTTTATCGTAGCGACAGTGACAGTTCAACACTGCCCAGGAAGTCCCCCTTTGTGCGAAATACTTTGGAAAGACGAACCCTTCGCTATAAACAGGTGTGTGTTGTGTAAACTAAAATGGCATCTGTACTTGCCCTGGGAGTTATTTTTATAGCATTCAAAAGGTAATATTTCAGGTAATATTTAAGACTGTGTTATTTTCTTGTTTCTTGACAAAAAATCTTTGAAAACATATATAATGTCATAATGTTACCAGTATTTCTTAAGACGCTATTTTGTATAATTTGTGACCTTTATATTCTTAGATGTAGTGAATTAATAATAAATCAGTAACTGCCATCCCAGGTCTGTTTCCGCTTGGGTGGGAATTACTGCCCTCAACTTCATGAACAAGTCTTTTTTCTCTTAGGGGTTTGTTGAACATAGCATATTTGCTTACTTGAGGCTTGTATGGGGAGGAAAGTTTTTGACAGCTGGCGTGTGTGTGCACACACATGCCCACAAGTGTGTCCACACATACACATGGGCATGGGTGTGTATGAAGTTTTTTAAATGTAAAGCACTGATGTGGTTTGTAATGTGTTCTATCTTCTCTTATACCATGGTCCTAAGGCTTTTTCCATGTCAATATATGTTTTCATTTTTTTCAATGGCTACATTTTATGTTGACCTTAATTTATTTAATCATTTCCTGCCATTGTATATTTAGGTTTTCTCCCCCCCATCATAAACATCAGTTGGATCCCTTATCCATGTTGGCAGTTGTACCTTTTAGATGCATGGCAAAAATGATATCTCAGAACCAAAGAAAATGTATATCAAATGACTTCTGGAAACTGTGCTCATTTTTGATCCTGCCAGCCCCATATATGAGTGTCTGTTGCTCCATACTTTTGCAAATACATAGGTCATCATTCAAGAAAACAGTTTTCTATTACTAAGCTTATTATTGTACTAGAGACAATCTTGCCCCTAAGTCTCTGTTTTTGTTTTATTTTTGTTGCCAGGCATTGAACCCAAGGGTGTTTAATCACTGAGCCACATCCTTAGCCCTTTTTGTTTTTTATTTTTTTGAGACACAGTCTCAGTAGGTTGCTAACAACTTCACTAAGTTACTGAAACTGGCTTTGAACCTGCAATCCTCCTACCTCAGCCTCCTGAGCTGTTAGGATTACAGGCATGCACCACCATGCCTGGCCCAAGTCTGTGTTTTTAAAATTTGGGCTTCACTTAGAGAGATACCTGTGCTGTACCTGTTTCCCATTAATTGTGGAAGAACCTTCCAGAAGGCCAAACATGTGGACTGGCTGGGCTGGTGTGCACAATCATAGCTATGGTCTCCTGCAGTCCTGTAGGTCTTCCCTGGCTGAGCTCATGGCCCGCACCTCCCTGGACCTGGAGCTGGATCTCCAGGCATCTAGAACACGGCAGAGGCAGCTGAATGAGGAGATCTGTGCTCTCCGGGAGCTGAGGCAGAGGTTGGAAGATGCCCAGCTCCGAGGCCAGACCGACCTCCCGCACTGGGTGCTGCGAGATGAGCGGTTCCGCAGCCTGCTGAAGGAAGCAGAGAGGCAGGTGAGAGGTTGTTGGCCTGCCTTGGCAGGCTCCCTGCTTACTACCTGCCCACAGTCACAGCCCTTTGAAACAACTGTACTTGGGTTCAGAAGTAAGCATCTGGATAATGATGTAATTGTAATGATCTAGGGACTTATTTATGGGGCCAGTTCTCTTACTTCTATGGGTCCGGAGGGTAGCATTTATCATGGTACCAGCATACTTCTGGAGACTGTGGGAGTTGGAAGGAAAGCCCAGAGATACTCCCCAACTTGTGGGAGGAATGTTCTGCATCCCCGGTCTCCCAGCTCTGACTCCAGCCACCCCTAGTGATGCCTGTGAAAAATTTCCCTGAGGGACGTGGAGGAGGTGGACCTTTCTTGACTCTGGATCTTCATGACTGGGGTTGGTTCCTCTGTGCTCCAGGTCTGAGTGTGAACTCACTCATTCTTCCTTAAAAATGGCAATAAAAACATCTTGCTCATTAAATATTTCTGTTTCAGACACGACAGACCAAACTTGACTATCATCAAGAACAAGCAGCTGAGAAGATGCTAAAGAAGGCCTCCAAAGAGATCTATCAGTTGCGCGGGCAAAATCACAAAGAGCCCATCCAAGTGCAGACCTTCAGGTATGGGAGAAACAACACTGTGTCTAACCATGCTTGACACTTTCTTTTTACTATCAAACCTTTGTTATTATGAAAAACAAAGTAAGTATTGAAAAAAAAAACAGAAATACACTGAAAGCAGCATTCCCCTCTCTAATAGCTAGTCCTAGTATTAATTTTTTATATCCTTGATATTCATATCCCCAGCATAAACTAGCTTGAAATGTTTCTTGCTTCCTTCAATTCTGATTTAGACTCATTGACTCATTCATTCATTTATTAATAAAACAAATATTCCTATACCTACTCTATACTAGGCACTGTTAGGCACTGAAGGTAAACCCCTGATCTCATGGGTCTTCGTAACTGATTAGAATTTAGAGACTGTATACAAATAGTGTTGTTGCTGGGGATTCAAATTCAGTCACCTTTCAGTGTCTGCAGAACAGCTTCTAACCTGTAATTCTTTCTGATCTCAGGGAGAAGATAGCATTTTTTACAAGACCAAGGATTAACATACCTCCTCTCCCAGCCGACGACGTTTGATGTAGTGCATTGTGCACAGAAGTATTTATCTGCCTGTTTTATTTTCATGAAGTTCTTAGATTAGCTAAATTTGTCTTTAAAATATTTGTGCAAAGCTATTAATATACACATTTTGTAAAAAAACATATATCTATACATATATATTTTATAATAGTGACGGCAACAGGGCTTGGTTTTTCCTTGTTGTGAAATTGACATCTCTGAAGACAGGTTATTTTATAAAAGATCAACTATCATGTTAAGAGTGTACAGTTTTTACACTGTTTTATTTGACTTAAAGGCTGGAAGACAGAAACGAAGTGAGTTCAGGCAAATTCACTGTATTGTAATTTATTTATAGTACTTTTTTCCTTGAAGGAAAATACTGACTTTAAGATGTATTTTAAGACTGAAATTTTGTTCTTCAGTATTTGTCATACAGTAGAATGGAACTTGGGGGCCGGTTTTGTTTCTGACACCCGAAACGCAAACACTATGTGCTAAATCTGTCACTTGTATCAGTTTCTGATAGGTGCATTTACCATGTATATTGTACACTTTCACTCTCTTTGTGTTATGTTAAAATATCAACTGCAGTGGTTCAGTTGTAATTCACAAGCCATGTATGCGTCGCAGGGCTCAGTGTCCATTGTGTGCTGTGCACTGATCGCTTCTCATTGCTGTGTTGTTGTCTAATGCATCTTTCTGTGCTTACCACAAGTCTGAAGCCGGTGACAGAGCCTCCGGCATCCCAGGTTTCCGCCTGCCTGTCCACAGTGGCCGTCCACACTGCCTGCATTTGTCAGACCATGTATAGCCCTGCCTTTCCCACCCTTCATGTGATTCTAAAGCAGGAGGGTGGGGTGGCTCCTGCCCTGCTGCTGTTTTGTGAAGGAAGGTAAAAGGTACCTCAGAATGTGTGTTTTCAGTGAAGCTGAGGTGGATGCAGCAGTTATGGCATAGGAATAACCTAGAAAGTGCTTCTTTGTGGAGAGAAGGACATGTGAGTAACTAGAATTACCCAATGAGTCATTTACAGGAGAGTATTTGAGTTAAATCAGAATGCCCCTATATTGGAGTCTACCCAATATTCCCCATGAGATCTTACAACTAGCTCATGAGGAAAAATAAAATTAATGTAATTAAATATGCCATTAGTCTTTTAAATGCTGAAAGATATAAGTAGTTTGCCTAGCACATGTTTATCATATGTGAAATGTACTCCCCTTCCTGAGGCCTCAGATAAGTATACAAGTTCGATCACAGGAAATGTCAAAGAAAGCAGAATTTCTCTTCCTAGATTTTTCTTCCCCTCCCTTGAAAATATCCCTTGTAATCAGGTTTCTATTCTTATCAATCTATAACCTACCCCCTTATATAACGCACTTCCCTTTACATTTATTAAAAATGAATTTTGTAAAAGCATTTCATTGACACATGACCAATCACAGACAATGGAGTTTGTCAGTGGTGGTAAGACTGAAAACTTTATGCTATTCACTGTTGTCATCTCTTGCTATGTATTTCTGCTTCTAGTCTTGCTTTTGCTTTTTTTTTTTTTTGCCAATTCCTTTTTGTACGAACCCACAACAGAGGTAGAGACTGCAAGCCTTGATCCTTATGAAAACTGCCATTTGGCAGACAGCGTTGCTGGGCAGGCCCTCTTTCTGTGCCCCCATGCTGCTGAAACTTTAAACTCCAACCAGGTGCCATCTGCTTCTGGGTACTGGGGTCTGCACAGGGCAGATTGCTCATGCCTCACATGCATGGCACCCTCCATGTGGGGACGGTGCCCTGAACACAGGGATTACATGCCACTTTTGAGCAACTGCCCCAGGAAGCTCTCTCCAAGCTGATCAGTAGGTTGAGACAATTTTTTTTGCCAACCCCCTATTAAGTAATAGTACCAGTGTGGAGAAAACCCAGCAGGGCCAATATAAAAAGCCCCCAGACAAATGTTTTCAACTAAATGTCACTCCCCAGTTGATAAAGATTTCCATGTGAGTGCTTCCCTCCTGCCCTCAAGGTTTTATTTTTATTTTTTTTTAAAGAATTTGCCCACAAGAAACAAATGCAGCCTCAGCTTTGGTGTCAGTCCAAGGAGTACTTGTGTCTGACGCTCTTCTGTTTCACCTCTCCCTGCCTTCCTGTCTGTTGTGTCTGCTTTTGCATCTGGCAGGAACTGTAGCAAGGAAAGAAAATTGAGACAAATGAAGGCGAGATGAACAGTTGTGTGGGAGACCGGTCCAAGCAGTCAGGAGGACAAGGAACACCCTTTGTTTCTCAGTCATGATGTGGCTTGCTACCTTCCAGCTAGTTACAACTGCCAGGCCCAGACAATGTGGCAAGTCAGACATGTGAAGTGCTGTCAGCTTAGGGGTATTTTCATCTGCTGTGTAAACTGGTGCATATATAGGGCCTCCTGAGAAGGAAAACTCTGCTATGTTTTATGAGCAGTTCTGGTCCAGAAATGATTAGGATTCTGCCATTAGGGTTTGTAGAAATAGCACTGTGTGTAAAAGGGAATTTGGTTTTTCAATATCTAATCACTGCATTGTCAGGCTTTGGTTGATTGATAATTGCTGAAATAAGTGACCTTCTGTTGTGGGAATAAATTATAATCAGTATTCATCTCTTTGTTTTTTGTTACTATTCTCTCTGATTGTGTCATTTGTATTGTTTGAAAGTATTTCTTCTATAAAATTAAACTAACCTGCCTTAAGAACAAAGTGGAAATGTGTGTGTTTTTTTAATTATGGAAACTTTTTTTTTTGAGACAGGGTCCCACTATGTTGCTTAGAGCCTCACTAAGTTGTTGAGGCTGGTCTCAAACTTGTGATCCTTCTGTCTCAGCCTCCTGAGTAGCTGGTTTATAGGCATGTGTCACCATGCCTGGCTTTGAAAAATATATAAAAAACAGGTGCTATGAATGAAGCTTAATAAAGAGTGCATGCTTAGCATACATGAGGCCCTGAGAGTTTCATCCCACTGCCATAAAAATAAGAACAAAACATGCACATTTTAAAATATGAAAATAGAGTTATAAAATCAGAGAATAGTAAAATGAATGTACATGCAGCCCCCACCTGCTTCAGCACAGGTCAATCATAGTCAATCGTTTTTTTTTACACTTCCACTCACTTCTCCTTCTTGTGACTTGAAGCAAATTCCATACACCTTATCATTTCATCAATAAATATTTGAGTATATATTGCCAATAGAGATAAAACATGTACAACACCCTTATGTCTTAAAATTTACTAGTTCCTTAATGTTATTAAATATCCAAGGTTCACTTTCCCATTTGTCTTGTATCATTCTTTTCATTCCTTGAACAGAATCCAAGTATAATCTACTTATTAGGATTTTTTTTTTTGTCTGCTTTGGGTTTTTATTTTTGTCATAGCTTTCTTGAGATCTAATTCATGTACCATACAATTTACCCACTTAAAGCATGTAGTTCAATCTTTAATATATTGAGAATTGTGCAAATATCACCACAATTAATTTTGGAACATTTTTGTCTTCTCAAAATATGAACATTCATACCTATTAGCTGTCACTCCCCATTCCTCCGCTAGCCCAACCACCAGTCTACTTGTCTTCTCTCCAGATTTGCCTATGCAGGGCATTTCATACTGAGGGAATCATACAATATATAGCCATTTGTGTCATACTTCTTTCACTCAGCATAATGCTTTAGAGGTCCATCCACACTGTAGCATGTATATCATTTTTTTATGGCTGAGTAATCCCCCATTATAGGGATAGGTCATATTTTATTCATCCATTCATCAATTGATGGACACTTTAGGTTGCTCCCACTCTTTGGCCAATGTAAATAATGCTGCTATGATCTTTCATGTTCAAACTTTTGTGTGATCTTTCATGTTCAAACTTATGTTTTCATTTCTCTTAGGTCTATACCTATGAGTGGAATTGCTGGGTCATATGGTCATATGGTAACTTCATATTTAAACTTTTGAGGAACTGCCAGACTGTTTCCCAAAGTCACAGCCCCAGTTTACATTCCCATTAGTAGTGTACTGGGTTCTGGTTTCTTCACATGCTGGCCAACACTTGTTGTGTCACTTTGATTATAGCAATCCTGGTAGTTGCAAAGTGGTGTCTTAATAGTTAGGTCTGTTTCTCAGTGTACAGGATTGAACATACACATATTTTGTTAGACATAGGTCATATGTACCACTTTCCGGACTTATTGATGATATTCCTGTGGTATAGTTGAACATGTTCCTCAGAATTTCATTACTTACAAATTGGTAGTTGGATCTAAAAGTTTGATCACATTGCAGTTTATTTTTCTTCCTTTTTGGGGAGGGATAGGTGGAAAGACTTCTTCATTCTCATCTGCCCTGTAGTCTCTTTGTAATGTTAACAACTATTGGTAGTACCTAAACCCCTTGGTTCCTTAAGGATTGTAAAATGGTGATATTCTAATCCTATCACTTTTCCTACTTATTAGTTGAAATACCTTAATAAAAAGAAACCTACTCATCTATTTAGTTACCCTGTGGTACTGTTTTGGGAAAGCAAGATAAATTCTTTTTTATGTATATATATATTTTTATTTGTAGTTGGGCACAATACCTTTATTTTATTTCTTTATTTTTATGTGGTGATGAAGATCGAACCCAGCACCTCACACATGCTAGGTGAGCGCTCTACCACTGAGCCACAACCCCAGCCCCCATAAGATAAATTCTCAATTCTTACCAGTTTTCAAAAATAATGATTTTGTTTGCTACCAATGCATAGTGGTGGCCAATTTGCTTTTAGTTTTGAGATTTTTTTTTTTTTGGTATCATTATTAGCATGTTGATTTAAACATGTTTGTGGTATTTTAATTCACTGTGGTTGTCCATATTGGTGATCAAATTCTCCTGTGTTTGGCTGGTAGAATCTCTCCTTGTTGATTCCTGGGTCTTTTTGTTATGACCCCCAAGGATCTGAGATGGATTCCTTATCATCCTGTATGACCAGAAGTTTGTGACCTGGAACTGGTCGTTTTCTCAGGGTGACTCAGTTTCTTGTTGCTAGATGTCCTTGTTACTGCTCGAGTGGCCATTTTTAATGGATACACAATATTTTCTAAGGATAAAAAAAGGATGGTAGAAATAGAACAT